GAGAGAGAGAGAGAGAGAGAGAGAGAGAGAGAACGCTATGGAAGGACCACGAATCCATTACGTTTTTCGGGTATACCCCGAATCGCGAGGAAATCGTGCGAGAGGGAGAGACGTGGGCAGCGTAAGGTTTGACAATCGTCTCTGCTTTAGCCCCCCCCCCCTCGCTCTCTCTTTCTCTCTACGATGTCGAAAATGGTAAACTAGAAACACGAGTACGGATAGGAAGGATTTTGATTAACTAAGAAGAGTACGCAGTATCAGTGGGACGGAGTTAAACCGGGTAATAGCAAAGTAGGTGAAGGCAAAAGAAAAGAGCCGAAGAGACGACAGGTGAGCAGTGAACCGAGGGTCTGGGATGCAGGGCTCTCTTACCCGAGGTGGTTCTCGATGGCAGAGGGATCCTGTTCGCGCCTTTTCTCCGGGATCTTCGCACGTAATTACGCGATGCTGTGAATGAAGCGCTAGGCATCTTTAACGTGCTTCCGGGGCAAGAAATTATGCGAGAAACGGTAAAACAACTAAACACTAAACAATGGCGACACTTCCACTGAGCCCAGCGGCCATCTTCTCATTGACTATAGGATTGCCGACTGGTGCCAGACCGCCAATCGGATGAGTTTCTGCTCTTCCCCTCTTTCGTCCCCGACCGCCCTCCTACCCTACCCTCTTCCGCAGTGGATCGCGACACAAGCAACCATCAGTAGTGTGAAATTATGGAGACCGCGGACCGAAATACCGATTTGTCCTGCGTGTCCGCAATTTTATCATGTCTCGCCCTTTCTATAGTATACGTCGCGAGTCTCTACGTATGGAGATCCCCGTACGATGGGTACGTAAAGCTGATCGGCGAAGGCGACGAACGTCGAGTCCCCCCTTTTAAACGTCCATTTTTCGAGCTACCGTAGAGAACGCTCCCTCGGCTTCTGTTATCAACGAACCACAGAGAACCACGAACAAAGTGTAACTGATTCACGTCGCCCCGCGAACGTGAACGCTCTTTCTCCGAGTTCTCCCACTCGTGCGATCACAGACGGATCGAGATCACCAGCGCCCCTACTGGCTGGTTTTTTGCCTTCGAATTCTACTTTATTTGGCGCCACGTTTGAACGTTTCAACATGATCTGTTCGAAAAAAAAGTAGTTTGTTTAACTGGCAGAAAGTTGATTTGACAATCTTCCCAAGAATATATAAACGTTGTCATTCTTTGTACGCTTTCGAAATATTTACTTCTATTTTATCGTTGCAGAGAACATCCTACGATTATAAAAAGAAGATTTTGTAGTGTTTTTATTATATCTCTTATATCTCCCGTGTCATTGTACTTTGGGATGAATAAGAAGGTCTTTCAAAGGGTAATTGTGCAATCGTGTAACTGTATGTACAACGAGTATCTTGAGTTACAAGTTTTTCTATTTTCAGGCAACTATTTGGGAATTATTAGGTCTACGATGGCCAGGTTTAATTGAAGCAGTCGTGATACCATTATTGTTAACAATGATACTATTTTTAGGACCATTAAGTGTACAATGCTTTAATAAGCTTTCAAGATTATATGCTGGTGAGCATGTTGTGTAATTTAATATAAGGCACTTAATGTATTATACTTAATAACTATGGAAGTGTAGGTTTACCTGTTTTAGAGCCCATGCATTGGCTCGGAAATATAAGGACATTAACGTGGTGGAGAAACCAAGTAGTCGCACCTTTGTGCGAAGAATGGACATTCAGAGCATGCATGTTACCATTGCTGTTGCAATGTTTCACACCAGTCACTGCTATATTTGTGTCCTCCTTGTTTTTTGGAGCTGCCCATTTTCATCATATTGTGGACAGAGTAAGGGAAGGTGTGAGTCTTAAACGTGCACTTCTTATATCTTGTAAGTACTATTCAAAATTTTCACTGAATAAAAATATCTTTACCAATTTATTGTAAGTATTTATTCGTTAACTAGGTTTTCAGTTTGCATACACGACATTGTTTGGAACATATGCAGCGTTTCTTTTCGTCAAAACAGGTATAATAACTCTGTTATAAATTTTTCTGCTCTACATTAATAAAACATAATAGAATATTTTATCTTTCGTGTATATAGGACACCTTGCAGCACCATTAACAGCACACTCTTTTTGTAATCACATGGGATTCCCTGATCTTTCAGAAATCGTGGCGTGTAAGGATCCACTAAAAAGAGCAGGACTATGTTGTCTGTTTGTCATTGGATTAGTCACTTTTTTTCTGCTGTTAATACCAATGACGAATCCAACAATATTTCAAAATAATCTATTTTGGAATAAGCATTTTTTATAAGCTGAGATTCATTTGAAACGATGTCACTAATGTTGTTCACAATTTTTATAACGAACTAGGATAATTCGAAATTACTGACATCATTTGCGTAATTAACATTGCATAATTGTACACTCTCATGAGGTACAAGTTAATGTATGACTTACATAGGTTATTACACTTTTTAATGTGTGAATTTTTTCAATGATAGTTTTGAAACATGTTATAATGATCCTAATCAAGTTTTATATAACGATCACTGGATCCATGAAGTTGTAATTATGAATGCTAATTACAACGTAGGTGAAGTTTTTCTTCAAACAAGGATGTTGTTGAAATATTGTATACTTGAAAAAGTATAACGTTGTTACAATAAATAGTGTATTTTGAATTCATAAAGAAAAATTATTCTTTGTACAAGTTCATCCTTTGTTAATTTTTTTTCGATATAATGAACAAATGCCATGACACATTCATTTTACAATCACTTAACTGCATGTTCCCAAATAGTTGTGTATATAAATTATGTTAATATACATGTGAGAATTAACATCACAATACATACACTGATTGTTTATTTGAATCACACAAATAACAGTCATAGCAGTATTACAATGCTTGTTATAAATGTTATACAGATTATTGAACTAGCGGCAAACATAAGAACACATAAAGGAGTCTAAATACATATTGCAATAATATCCTGTTAGTAGGAAAGAATTTTTGACAATACAGTGTGACGTACTTTCTATGAATTACGGATTTGATTTCCTACATTTACAGTGTAAATATTAATCACGTTAATTTGTGTATAATAAAATAAGTTTTCTTTCGTGAAAGGAAAACTGGAACTGGTGAATGAAATATTCATATAAATATTTACACTCTATTAAGTTGTACACTTTTTCAACAAAATCTATTGTTAAACTTTACATATACTAGAGAACGGAATTTATAACATGGATGGAGTTATTAATTTTTAGCATAGTAATATAGAATATGTAAGTGTAAATAAACTCTTACTTGCAGTATATACTAATTATAAAGTTCATAAGATCTTTCACTTTCTTGCATCAGTTTAATTTAAATAATTATGCATTGTGCCCTGAATGCCATATTAAATTGTTTACATAAAAACAATATGAATTGTACAAATCGTAACTAATCCGAAAAAATGACTTAACTTTAGCAATTAAACAACAGTGTTCTTTTTTTACCAAACATATTCATTTACAATTATTTGTTGTGTCATAAAGTTCTTATATTTAGTATACATGTATAGTTTCTTAACTGTATCACTTTTATATTACACCTCTTACAGATCTACCTCTTTACAAAATCATTACATTAAGACGTGAATACAAAAAAACTAAGGATTGTCTCTAGAATCTAGAGTCTAGATTAAAGGAACCAATAAAAATAATACGATAAAGCAATGAAGAACTTTGTTTTTTTAATCATGTTCAATTTCCTATAAAAATAAATAAGAATATACTTTCTTAGAATTATAATTAAATGAAGATTTCTATAAAGGCTTCCATAAAAGAAGCATTTAATTGTTTTCTAGACCATGTCTTAAATCAAAATCGTGTAAAAATAAAGAATTAAATGTACTAGGAACTCTAACTGCAGACTTTTAAGTGTAAATAACCCGTAATAAATAAATAAATAAATAAACAAATGCAGATTTCAATAAAACAGTTTCAGTTACGTATAATGACATAAAAAAGAGTAGAAACACTTTCCATACTGCCTTCATGATTGGCTAGATCCAGGAGTAGCCTCAGAGCTTTGTGATTGATTAAGAAACAATACATTACTTGTTTTTATACTCGGGCCTGAAGATATAACTGAGGGACACGGGCTGATGCATGGTGTAGATGAGTAACTGTTACTTAAATCGCACTGATCTAACAGTTTCCAAAGTTCTTCGGGTGTAGGTCCGCCAGAAACATCTGTAACCAAGATACTGGTTAGCAGAAATTAACAGTACATATTATGTACATTTATTCAGACAAAACCGTGATATTACTTTGTGTAGAAGAAAACGATGGCTCCAAGGCTGTTGTAAGGTCCCACATTTGTATAGTACCATTCGAGTGTCCAGTAAATATAAAACGTCGCGGTCTCGAGCCCATACGGCTGGACCCTTCACATTCATGTACGTAAAATGAACTAATAATACTACCATCCACTGATTTGATTACGCATACTCTTTTTCCATTCGATGCTAGTCGTACGAACAGCTGGTCAGTCTCAGGTACAACTTTTTGAACAAATACTTGTTCATCATCCTGCTCTCCGAACGGACCTGCATTGTCATATATGTACATATAACGATCAACATATTTCGATCAACATTGTCGCGATTAATAGTGTTAATAAAATACCAAAGTCATTGCCAGCAGTATAACTGATACAAGGCTCGATTGCTTCTAAAGATACAATCTTAAAACTAGCTTCAGGCGTTGATCCAGGTTGAGTAGAAATCATTCCACGGAATCTCTTTACTGCCCAACTTCTAACATGATTATATTCAGAGCAAACTGACACCAAATATTTTTCTGACAATGTCACCTGTATAAATTATATGTATGTTCGGTTATATGTATAGATGTACACACAATTTGTAGGCAGGATAGAGAGGATAGAAATTTCATAGATATAGACATACTTTCGTGACGCTGCTCTGATGTACTGTAAATGTTTGGAATAATTGTGGTCCATGTCCAACAGTTTCCGGATGTTGTACGATGACCCTCACACTACCAGATTTAGTACCATATGCAATTTCAATCCAATTGCCACACAGTGCTGTATAAAAAGTGATATTGTTCAGAGAACGAGTTATTTTAATAAATGCAATGCTGTTGATATAAACGATATAACTGCTTAATAAAGAATGTAAATGGCACGATATTGAAAACTCCAGGAATAGAAAGAATCCTTTAGGCGTGTGTAGTTCATTCGATTAATAAACAATTAATAAATAAGTGGTTTATTAAGAAAAAGATACGCATAAGTACTATTCATTTGTTAGTGAAACCTCCATAGGTAAAATTCAAAGTTAACTTTATGATATATGTACATATGTGCTAGGAGACTGTGTAGAAACGTAAAAATACATACAGTGTATGTAAAAACGATATAATGGCTTAGAACGAACGAAAGAATCATTTAAATTGAATAAAATTATTTAAAACGAAGAATAATTATGCAAGCAAAGGTATGTGTTCTTTATTCCCTTTCCTTCCCCTCTCAGATTCGAATGTTTGATGTATGATAATGGAAAGGATAAGCAGGAGGCTCTAAGAATGATATTTAACTGAAATCAAGATAGCTAAATTGCATAACCAACATTTCAAATTAGATGTTAACCAAATATATGAGAAAATGCAAATGATGTAACAATCTGCAGTAGTACAACTGGACGCATAAGGATAGCGGGGCTGTGTACGATTAGTGCGATCTTAGAGAGAAAATAATATTTACATGTGTATGTATATATATATATATATATATGTGCAGACTCGATGCAGAATGATATACTACATCTGGAGAGGAAGGGTGCGGACACTAGTACATATTTAAAACAATGTGTCATGTTCAATGCAATACAAAATGTAGAGAAACGTATGTTGTTTGAACTGTGATTTGAACATGAGATTATCGTAGGTAGAACATTTTCATATCGACCCATACTTGCCTTGTGCTATTTATCCAGTTGTACGAAATCACGAAGCAAAGAATGTAATAATAAACTCTCATTAATATCAAAACAATAGCAGTAAACTTTATGATAAAATTATACTATCGCGTTTGTATCCAAACATATCTATATGTATGTATTATTCTTATGGGTGTCAATCTATCAGTAGAAATTTTCTTTCTTTTTCGACTTAAATGAATCATCATCAAGAGAGTCACGATCATATTTTGTTAGTTAAATTGAAGGTAAAACTGTGGTGCAACTATATACGTAGCAAATTGGTGGTTAAAAGAAAAGAAAAATATTTATGAAAAAGTGACGTTTGTTATTACATTCCTCAATAAAAGCAGATTTAACAATTATATTTTAGTCCCTTTATTTGTACGTCACTTGAAAAGGTGTTTCTGCAATAGAGATACTGTAATACTCAACGTTATCAACCATGAATTAGTTATTATTTACCTTGGATTTCTGTGTTAAACCGTTTATCAAGATATTATCGTGTTATGATGAGAACGTACATGAAAACTTACATGTTTTCGGCGTTAAATAAACTGATATGGCTGTAATAGGATCGTAATTCGGATCACGATACAATTCGGTTACGAGTAGATCGTTGTCCTTCATTCGTAAAGGGAACTTTTCCATATCTGAAAATTAACGACATATACCTGTTGCTCGATAATCTTAGTTGCGCATTAGAACAAATTTTAGTCCTCTTTACCAATATAATATATCGATCCATTATTGCATCCCAGGAGAAGAAAAGAACCAGCCGTGTCAAATGATAAAATAGGTACGACGTCTTGTATTTGCCAATGGTGTGTCATAGCATGCCATACACCGATCTTATCGGTAGAAGACAGCGCAACTAACTGACTCCCAATAAAAAATAAATATTCTATACGAACATTCAAGTTAAATGTACCGATGTTAATGTTTATCCCATTTGCAGAAACATTCCATAATGTTACTTGATTTCCATAAGAAAAAGCAACCATATTGGCATCTACACTAGTGTTTAATTTTGACGTTATTGCTACCCTTTCAATCACTGACTCAATATGGGGACTAGTGAATGCATGCTGCCATCCAGATGAGTCTTTCAGTCGGTAACACGTTATAAAATGCGCGTAAGCAATCACGATCCAATTGTGATGAGCCTTTATGATTTGAACCCTCAAAGGATCGACCCACGATGAAACTGTATTGACAAAAATTCTTTATAATATTACACTAAAAATTTCGAAGAGAGTACATTTATTCGTTTACCTTGCTGCGGTCCAAATACTAAACTTATGTCGTTTTTATGTAATTTATTTAAGTCTGCTGAATTATTCCTAACATGCCGTAAATCTAGAGGTGACGTCCGTGAGTATGGCAAGCCTCTTTGCTGGATTCTATAATCCAATGAAGAGTTCCTCACATGTGTTCCAAGCACTCCTTTATGGTTTTGTTGCCCTAAAATAAATGCACATCAAATAATAATAATTTATGTAGAAATTATGTTAAATCAACATTAGTTCTTTACCGTTATTATTTTGGGTAGCATTAGAACTTGTTGAAGCTGCACTTTGAGAAGTTGATGGCGCATCTACTTTGGGATTGGTAGTAGTGCTAGGTGCCCTACCATGAACAGACACATCTCCTACATTTGGTTGCACAGTAGTTGGTTCTTGTAATGGTATACCTTCAAAATTAAGACATAAATTTGTTATTGCATTGTTTCTATTGGGATTAATCATACACTTACTTGGAGGTGGTAAATAACCATAAAATAACACATTCCCACAAGAGGACTGAGTCAAATCCTCGCATAACATTAGCCTCTTAACTAATGGTATTATACCATAATACTCAGCTTCGTGTCTCAATGTACGAAGGTCTACACTTTTTAAATCAATGTCTTTAGTGCGTAAATAATTTAGTATAATGGAAAATAGTTTTGGATCTCTATCTATAAACAATGCTCCATCTTCATCTCTGTGACTGGCAATTCGGTTGCTTAGTAATGTAGTAAAAAATGAATCTGGGACCCATGTTAGCGTTTGTTTTGATGTTGAAAACCTATGAAAATTCAATGTATTAATTATAAAGTAAACTATTTGGTTCAATAAGAAATAATGTACAATGTCCGAATAGTCTCAATGGTAGCAAAACGAACATTGTTTATGGCTCCATAATTTATCAAAAAAATGCTTCTTGAACAGTAATCAAGTTAATAAAGTTGAATGCCTCTTCTTTCCGTACCTTGTTCCACCGACATTCAAATGCACGATGTCACCAACTCCGAAGGAAGGAGGCACGGCCATTGTCAAAATTAATTCAGACGTAACGATTTACGTTGACAATACGTGTCTTGTCTTGATAATAATCACCAAACTGTCGGAGGATTATAATTCCCTCCCCATAGGTTATAAACGACGCATTTTTTCGGATTCTCCTTATCGGCAATGAAATACATGCATCGTGAACGCCGTACTGATCAGGATCAGGAAACTCAACATTTTAAGGAGCACAGTCGTATATGTATACAACTTCACTTGTACAAGGTATCCAAGGTCAGGAAAGTTCCGTGGAAGGGGTGACCTCTGACCGGTGATCCACGGTGATCCACGGTGATCCCTTAAACTTAAGCGAAGTTTACACCCGTTTACACCGTTTACACTATTTGAATATGTAGGCAACTTTTGATCGGCTGACCAAAAGGATGCAAAAGAACCAGAAGGACTAATCACTGATGAGTTCGCAACGATCAGCAACGATTAAATTATTATTTATATAGAAATTATATTAAATGATCCTAACTCCTTACTATTATTATTTTTGGATAGCATTCGATAGACAGTGTTATAAATAGACATCATTGGAAAAAGATTTAATCGCAATATTATGTCTGGTTATGCTGAAAATGGTTTTTTCTTCAATTTTATTATCATCTGCAACCACCTTCAAGTTACACAGATTCTAACCTAAGCAACTGAAAATCTCTGTGCACATATAAGATTGTTTAAGTATATAATCATATCTAATAAACTAATAAATATGTTACATTATGCTAAACTGTGTGTAAACCACTTGAAAACACAATCAACGACACTTCTGGCCAGTCATGTTAATTTGCTGGAACAACAAAGCCGGGTAACATTTTTACTACTATACTTAATGTAATAAACATTAAGTTCAAAATATTACCAATAATTCATTTCTTTTTTAGAATACATTCATTCTAAAAAGAAGATATCCAGTACCTCTCTACAAGAAAAATCAAAGACCCCACAAATTAACGCATAAATATTTCATTTATGATTTGGTAGAAAATACAGTTACCAAAAGACCATTGAACATTGACATGATTTTAGTGGAAAATGTAAAAGATATTGGTAGGAAAGGAGAAAAAATTTCAGTGCAATCAGAAAAAGCTTATAATAATTTTTTATTGCCGAAATTAGCTGTATATGCAACTCCTGAAAATATGGAAAAGTATTACATTAAGCCAGAAGACTTCAATGTTGATAAAGATACACAAAGTTCTCAGTTTGTTAATAGAACAATAAGTGTGTTATCTCAGATATATGTGAAGATAATGATATCTAAAGATGTGCCATGGACACTAGAAAAGTGGCATGTCAGAGTATGTTTTCGTAGAATAGGTATCATTGTTCCTGAAGATGCAATAACTATGCCAAACAAGAGTATATCTGGACCAAATTTAGATCTTGAGAATAAAGAATTTTATGTCACTCTTAAGATTAATAATCACGAAGAAGTGAAAGTTAGATGTAGAATATACCATTGGAATAATGATATTTCACAAGAAACAAAATATTGGGGTACACCCAGTGTAGCAATCTTCCCAGAAGATCAAGAGATCTTAGATTCTCTACCAAAGCCTTATTCAAATAAATCCCAGAAAACTGATAATGCTGAATAAATGTGTTATGCAAATAAAATCTGTTTTGACAATAATTTCAATTTCAAGAATTTTATTCCCCTAATAGAAGTAGTAGAATTTGTTTTTTTCTACAGTTTCCATTAAAGTGAATGGTGATCGAATGTGAATGAATTGTACACAAGTATAATTATTAAGAGTTTCAAAAATAAGTTTGTGCTGCATGTGATATACAATGATATTTTAATATTTGTTATGTTTTATTACACGAGTGCATGTACCACTTATTTAGTAAATGCATAAAATTGGCAATCAATAAATGAACACTACAGTATCAAGCTATACTTCAGCATTTATTTCTCAGCTGGTTAACCTGACTTTATTTTATTTCTTGTACAATATATACAATGTTCTAACAATTCAATATAAGAATATGGAAGATAAACATTTTGGATGGGATGAAATTTCTGATGGATTGATTTTATTAGGGTAATAAAATGTATAATCTATTAATTATATATGTTATATTATTTGTTTAAAACTAAGATGAAGGAAATATTCAATTAAATATCTTTTTATATTCATATATAAGTGTACAGAAAACGGAAGATGAACAAATTAAAAGGCATAAAGGACCGACAGATCCCATTCCAGATTCAAAAGTGTACTGTCCACACGCATATTTAATGTTAAATTTTCATGAAACTTTAAATCAGCGTGAAAAGGTGAGTAATAAAGGAAAATGTAGCAATAAAAATAGTACCGATGAATGTCTGTGATCTAAATACACACTCTGTTTCAGATACGATTCAGAAGACATTACTTGCGCAAGATATCTCCGAATGAACCAAATGTTATTATTTTACAAGATATAAAAGATCTTGTACTGTATTTGTTAGCAACTCCTGTTAGTCCACAATTTATCGTTTTTTTTCATCTACCAATTGTGGATCGATTCTTAAGAGCCACAATTATTTATTTTCAATACTATATAATAATATGGGAAGAATTAATGGAGGAACGTGCAGCTACTATGAAGAAAGCACCAAATCCTTTAGCCCAAGGCTATAGATCCAAATACGCTGACGATATGCAAAACCTTCGTTGCGTATTGGGCAGAGAATACGCTGATTTAATAGTAGGTTGTCAAGACAGCATGCAATACCATCATATGACTGGAGGCAAAAAAGGACTGGCATCTTTAATTCAATCACAAGGAGAGAAGGATTTAAGAATGTTTGAAGTATTAATTGGCGTGACACATCGTGTAGTTTGGATAGCCTTACAACGTAAATTCTTTACTTTAATCGGTACGTTGATCTATCAGAAAGGAAAAGAATCTATAACAAGATACTTTAATAAGATGAAAGTATTCATTTTAGAAATAGAGTTGCATAGATTATTCAGAAGTGAAGCATACAACATAGCTAAAAGACGAACTTTTAGTCAACTTGTCTCAGATATGTTGGAAGATGATACAGCAGTATTACAAGGGCCTAAAATACAAGAAAAACGAAGATTATTAAGAAATTCTCCTGTTATAGCAGAATTAATATACTCAACTTGCGATTATCGTCTTCTATCTTTAGGTGTGTAATATTTTAACATATTTTCAGTTTCTTTAACTTAAACAACGTATTGTAACGAATAGGTATGGAAGATAACACCAATGGCGAACGAATTATTTATCTACAAAATGCTCTGTTAATCGAGGAAGATAAGTTACATAAGTTGGGTATCAAAATAGGAATTCTGGGCGAAAATAGAGATAAGTATGATTTGATGTTGATGCCACTGGAAGAGGAAAAACCCTCCGATATTCAAATATCTGACCGAGCCACATATGAAGCAATGAAAAGTATAAAGGATGCATCAGATTTAGTAAGTATTTTTAAACGTATACCTTTTCAATAAACACATAGGATAAAGTTATATGATAGTGTATTTTTATTTTTTACAGAATAAGGGAACAACGATTAAGAAACTTCCATTATTTCAAACTGAATTCCATGTAACTAGTGATTTTCCGATTGAGGTAGGCAATATTTCACCAAGTGGCTATGAAACTAATTGTAAAGAAGCAAGAAAAAAATGGTACATGAGGGAAATGAAACGTCATTATGTTAGAGACACAGACACATATTCCATAATGACAAATTAAAATAAAATTCTTTTGGCATTACTTACCAAATTTCATATGAATACCGAATTTATATTGCTTATTGAATATGCCTGATCATTTATTAGTTCATACTTGCATTTTTCATACACATATGTAAATAGAAATAGCGTACTCAGCGGATAATATAATTTATTGAATAACGTAAGTGTTAAACCATGTTGAGTACTATCAATCCATATCTGTGTCGATAACTGGATAAATAATATAAATAGTATAAATTAATAAGTATATAGTTGGAGGATTCTTGACTGGTACTACACATCAAGGATTTACAACACATGCAAAGACAATTATGCGAATTAATAAATTTGAAGTAATGTAGTTATTACGTATTATGAAATACAACGAACGTTGACAAACAGAATTTCGTATTTTTATTTATTATGTCATTCAATATAAAGTAGAAAAGAATTTATGGAATAGAAACCATTGATTGATTACTTTTTCAGATTTATTTTATTGTTTGTGAAATTATTTAATATTAATATGGATTGATAACAATCAAATAATTAAATGTATGCGTCTATATTATCTGGTTTTTTGAAAAACATTAATATTTATATAAAGTTTGTGATTTTTATTTAATATTATGGTATCGAATAAGATAAAAGTACAAGTTTTTTAATAAACTACTTGAAGCTTTTCAATAACTACATACAGTAAATTGCATAGAACCATTTAATGTTATCGAAAATTTTCATTAAAAAAGTATATATAGGATAAAATATTGGAAATTATTCGTTTAATTTAAAGTATTATTAAATATAGACACATACATTAAAAAGAAACCATTTTAAGGGACACGTGATCAGGGTTGATAAACTGAATACAATAAGACAATGTAAAAAATATGCTTATTATAATTGGTAATGCCTAATAATGAGTACTAATGCTGATATTTTACAAGGAGATACACATATAGGTACATCTGAAGCAATGCATTTCATTTACGATTAAATTCTGCATTGTCTTTTTATAAATAATTGTTGTACCTACTTACTACCATTATATATAATAACAATATATATGACATTAATTTAATCCCAATATGGGTTAAATTGTAAATTGTATTGTTTTCGATTTTCATTTACAAGTGGCAAATTTACTGTTCATTTGCGTTGGTTTACATTTAGCTAAAACATTCATTATTTAATATTTATTTCTTTGCGACCTATTATCAGCGAATAAATGACACGCATGTATGAGGTTAAAAAATTAATACCTCGTTACTTGTATTTGGCACAGAGACTTTGATAATAAAAACTAGATCTCAGAAGAATCTATACAATCTTGGTGTTACGCGTGAAATGCATTTCTTGTTATTTTTACGTTATCCATATTTATTTATTACTACAATGTGATTGAACGTCTCCTTTATTCGTTCTCAATTACGATATGTATTAGAAATTATGATAATCTGACGTGTGTTGCGTACATTTCGCAGTGTTACATTTGCAAGTGTACGCAGAGACAACACTAGTATCAACACTATATAGCTATATTGTGATATTTCAAATGTCAAATGGCAGTAAGTAATCCAGCCGTCCTTACGATTGACAACAGCAATCTAGTTTTACTCTCAGTATCTGTGCCTCATCGACTTTTTCTTAAATATTACTTCTTGTTGCGACTGCGGACAATAAAATTAATGGACAGCGTGTCATCTTTTTCTTATAGGCAGCAAAAGAATTTCAAATGTATTATAGTTACTAAAAATATCAAAAATGAAACTATTTCGGCACTTCTTATTAATTTAAAGTTTTAATTGTATGTTACAGCTATCTATTACTGAACATTTACCTACATGATTATAATACAAAATGAAGAAAATGATGATAGTGATGATTATGCGTATGTCAGTAAGATTATTCGCGATTATTTGCATACATTATTACAGCAGATACATGATGAGAAATGAATATGTATGACTATTTATGTGTACATGTAGTTCGTTAAGTTCAGTCATGTGCCCGTGCAACTGCATTCTATGCACAAAGTTTCTCAATGAAAAGTAACTTGTTAAAACGAACTGGTTTTAACATTTGTTTAAACGAAAACTAAGTTACATTCTTATCAAAACATGCATTGAACATAGTGCTTGTACTTAATCCTTGGCTCAGACTACAATTAAAAGTTTCAATCTTATTTGAAACATGTTTTGTAACTTTTCTTTCTATTATTATCCGGTTTTTCATGCTTTTTATAAAACTCTTACTGATGCTTTCTTTAAATAGACAATTGTTTTTATAATAATTCTCGACTGTAAAATAATTATAAACCGAATGTTAATGTAGAACACATGTGTGTTCCTTAATTTTTAGAGTATCAGTGTCTGGAAACATATTCGTCAATATGCCTTGCAAATATATCAGGGTGCTACGAAAGAAAATAAAAATTATTATCAATGCAAAAACTTGTATACTTAATTAATATCAGAATGGAATAATAGAATAATAATAATAATAATAAATAAAAGTGTATCTATATACCCTGAAAAATTCAAATATCTTACAATTACTTTGCAAGAGCTTTCCCTTCTCTCAATTTTCATACATTTCACAATTACAAAAGAAAAAAAAAAAGAAACCATTTCAATTATCAAGCTATTATAACTATAAGATAATAATTGAATTTTTAAGGATTACTCAATAAAGAAATAAAGTGACATTGCGATTACTTGTCAGAAAAAAAGAAACGGAATTTTCAGCATTTAGCAGGAAATATGGTATCTATTGCATATGAATCTAGTAGTCATGGTATGATGTATTCGATGATGTTTATACTAAATTAATAGCTTTACTAATTCTTTTCACATTCTGTATGTCAATCCTTGCAGTTATCTTGAATTTCTATAACTATGCAATGAAAGTTAATAACACAATCTTACATTTAGCAGCACAGACACAAACAGTATTTTGCTCTATAAGTATAAGGAACACACGCGAACTCATTTTCAAATTATTATATTATTAAAACAGACGGGGCTACGAAGCAATGTCTGACATAAGTTGAGCCAACAATGCTGGTTCTAAAAGTCCATGTGTTTGCCCCATCCTTTCCAAATTTCGTACATCCTTATCTACCGCCTCCAGTGCCCGTTCTAATTCTTCTTCTTCTTCCCTTGACGGTTCATATTCTCCGTTTCTGCTCTCTACAAAAGAACAAGAAATCTTGCGGTTATTCTTCCATGATATCTCCGAGAAATTGATCAGCGAATCCTCGTGATTTAATGATACATGAAATGTAAAAGTATAATTACCAATGAATAAGTCATTAAAAGCGTCAGCAGGTAAGTTGTTGAGCACATTGCCAAAGTCATGCTCCGCCGCATCCAGAGATGGAAACACTTCGTGATCTCCTAGATCTACCTTAAGCCCTCCTCCAAGACCGAGTCCTAATCCTAAGTTTAAATTAGAAGAGTGCGAACTTCCTTGAGCTACTGAATTCAAATTGTTCAAAGTTTTTGTTTGATTTTCACTAGAATTTATTTGATTCAAGTATTGGTTCTCCTCGTGCACCAAGGTGGAGCCCTTTGTCTCGAGCTTAGTCGAGGGAGGCCGTTTTCGCTTTTTCGGCCTGGATTTCGGTTTAGGCCTGGGTATTGTTGGAGAGGCTGGCTTTTTACGAGCTTTCTTTGGTTTAGATTCTTGAGCTTTACGATGGTAGTTATCTCTTTTCCTTGCATGCTCTGGACACAGGGGTAATTCGTGTGCAACATCAAACACAGGAATACAACATTGTGTGTTATCACTAAACTTGGCAGTGCAATGTTCGAATAAAAGTTGATCTCCATTCAACATAATGTGACGAGAACAATAACGGGTACAGGGCAAAGATATCTGATGACATCCGTCGGCTCCACAAAGTCCGCCAACTAAAAGCGGTCCATCACCAACTTTGCTCGTACTCGGAGAATCGGTCAAAGCTCTTGCAGTAGATGTAGGATCTTTATAAGCAGCTTCCAGTAGACATCTGGCTTTGTCACGCAGCAACGCTTCCGAATCTGTCCCACCTCTATGTAACTGAATTAATCGTCGTCTCAGCTGAGATCGTAATTGAGATAGTCGTGCAGAACGGTTTAATGCTGTACTAGTTTCGCCAGAGAACCAATACCGTTGATAAACCGTCATCTCGTCTCCGCTGGAGTCACTATCGGATATTTCATCCCCAGCTTTAGGATAATACAATAGAGTATGGTCCCGACTTTGTCTCCTACATTTCAATCTTTGTAAGTTTTCAATGTGACATTCTTTCTGCTTAATTGCTTTTGTACTTTTATAATCTATGTTTTCACCACCACCTACACCACTGTCAGCATCTAATTCTACAGTATGATCTTGTACAGCTTTGTAATCCCCATCTGCTACGGGTGTTATCCTTATCCTTTGCTTCATACATTTCCCTTTAGGCTTAATATTTTTACAACTTTGCATCACTTTAGGATTGTTAGGTGAAACTATTGTAACATTCCTCCCTGATGTATTGAATGGCTCTGGTTCACTGAAAATATACGGATCAACATCTTGATGAGCCTCTGTTTTCAGTAAAGCCTTTAAGCGATCCGAAAACTTCAATTTATTGTCCATGTTTGAGTTTTCGGATGTGGGGACCTTCATTGATTACCGCTTCTCTTGACTTCTGTTCCACCTGCATTCTCAAATCTCCAAATCAACTTTCTTCCTGTCTACATAAAACTTAGTTCACGCCATGTGCCAAGATCCAAGTCTAGACAGTACTACTTTTGAATTCATAATACTGAGAATAAAAAAATAAAAAATTATTTTTATTGTATCATATCACAGCTTGATGGTTTTGTATTTAAATCAAAAGCATCGAGAGAGTACAGCTAGTAAAACGAATTTTTGTACACAGTATAATAAATTATAAAATAGTCACGTGCACTACTTTTACTTGAAAACATAGATACAATGTGCACTCAGCTATCCCTTATTTACAATTATGTGCATATGTACAAAAAAAGAACTTCGTTTTGTCATGGATTCTTGTTGTATCATTAGAAAGATTAAAAAATTTGCTACACTTTGTTTTATCTAGTATAAAATTTTGCCAGTGCCTTAGAAAAAAGATTCGTACATTTAAATGAAGACAAAAATTTATTCTATCCTCTAAAAAGTCCAACTAATACTTTAGTAGTTGATAACATCTATACCAATTAAAGCTATGGAATTACTTTATGTTTAAATTTATATACTTCTATACGTAGTATTCTGCGAGATAATTACTAATGTCTCCTGGTTCAAGCAGTAAGCGTGAACTTAGTCCATCGCTAGATCAGGATAAAAACAATCCTTGCCTTTCATAGCAGTTCACATCAAACATATCCTACACATCTTTGAGTAATTGCATTCTAAGAGGCACTGAACCATTGAACATTGACTCCAAATATTTTAATGATCTCTGACAGGTTAAAGCCATATTAACAAGCCTTTATCTTCAGTGTTGACATCAGTACACGATGTTGGCTATCAACACTCTTTGGTTATGTTCACTCCTTATATAGACAATAAGACACTGTGCGAAATACTGTGATCAAACTTGAACGATACAGTCAAGAAAACTTTTTGGATCAGTCTCATCGCATATTTTTGCTCGTTAACAAGGGTGAACTTTTCACGGACACGATCACGAAGTCTCCTTTATGTGTCCAATGTTTCGTTTAGTTTAACCGAGGTTGGGACAATGCAAATTACTTCCGATAGTAATGGAGGTTGTTGTCCAATCAGGAGCAGTCCGACCTTTTTTTCTCGGAAGATATGCTCCGACAAGATTGAAGATTCACGCACAAATTCCAGCATTCATCGATAATAACATTAGAAAGACATGTCAGATGTAAGGGAAGCAAAATGGCGGACGCTGCACACACGAACAGTTTTTGATGCGAAAAATCTTCGAATTCACTGTGTTCTCACTTTGAACTCGATATAGAAACATTTTGCATCCGTTCTAAGCATCGACCAATTTGGTACGATATTATACAAAAACAAATTCCATCGTGATTACAAGCATTCTCGATGATAAAGATTAGATTGTTCTACGTTAATCACTTTGACATAACCTTTTTGATGTTTCGCGCGTATATGTATGTACCACCACGGATCTCCATTCCTTTGTTCTCGCACCCTACATTATAAAATACAAACAATCCAAATGAAAACTTTACAAACGCATATTATAACACTTCATCTCATTTACTCAAATATTTAATCGTTTGTGTCTGACACGAGTTCTCGATGTTGCATTGTATTTACAACTACATACACTTTACATAATTTCACAATCCTTTTATGTAAGAAATTTTACAATTTTACATGATAGGTAAAAAAAATACATGGTATCATTTCAAACAATTAACAACTACAAATATGTATATTATAAGTATTAATATTGTGATAGGTATGTATGTACATAATATGTATATATACATATGTAAAAGTATTTTCTACCAATGAGGTTTTTGCACAAAGTAAACATAAATTTACAATTTTATTCTATAAAATGATTATTTTCTTTTATGAATGTCAAATATGTTTTAAATTAATAATTTTTTTTCATAATAAACTGATGACGATTAACATATAAAACGTTATGAATAGTACAAAATTAATGAATTATCAAACAATGTTACCCACAGTAGCCATTAGATACAAATTGAAGGAAATAATAAATATAACTTGAATAAAAATCGTAGATAATATAAATATATGTGTATTATATACCTAAATACATATGTTCAATACAAAATGAATAGAATTAAAGAGTTAAACATATTATAAAGTGAAGAACACATTTAAACACTAATAGCATCATAATTATATGAAATTGAAAATAACTTTTATAAGAATTTAGAATCAAACAACATATCTTATTTTATTCTCAAGAATATCATGTTTAGGAATGGAATTTAAACATTACATTATTCATCTGATTTATTCATAAATATATTATACATTCTTTATTCAATTTACACGTAAACATGGAAAACAAGATAGGAATAATTAAATAAGCCTCGTAACCTTGAAAAATTGTTGCCGCCGATCAGCTGATTTTGACATTTAAAAGACTATAACCTATATGCATCAAAATGTATTGCCAAAGACCACCTGTTGATTTGTGTATGGTTTGTATTAATTTCAATGTTTATTACTCGTAGCAAACAATTTGTTAACAGTCTGGAAACAGACATCGACATTCGAATGTTAAAACATTAATAATTTGTATACACGGATAATATATCAATGTAAATAAATTAGTCGTAATTTCATTCACAATAAGCCTATTATGAATTTAACAGACTATGGATATTTATACAAATATATATTTCTATGAACTAATTTACAGAAATTGAAAGTAAACGAAAATTTATTTATTCAGGTTTAGATCAGTTTAGATGGGATACTATATATATATATCGTCGCATGTATACATATACATACCCCTTAAAAACCATACATGTTTTCTTTTTAGCATTTTCCTCTATTTCCAAATACAGAGAGATATTTAGCATAAATTTAATTATTATATTTTCTTAACTCAGCCTCTATATTCACACTCATGCTGGATATAATAACAACTACTTACCATGTTTCACGCTCATACTATTCATGTTCTGATCTGTCATTGTATGATGACAATTTCTAACACGACTACGATTTCTGTTTAATTTTATATAAAAGGTAGGAGAACATATTTATTGATATGTATTACAACTTTCTTTTACTTGTATTTTTTCCCTTATTCACTTTATAATTAAATATACACAATGACCATGTGCACAACTAGTTTGTGCATTTAACATTGCTTCAACTATAATTTTGTAACTGCATGAACACGTACATCCATTGAAGTCCATAACTATCTGTTATGTACATTTATAAATAAGCTCCATACAACTACTAGACAGTAAACAAATAAAATGAAAATGTTAAATACAAACTACATTATACCTAAAAAAAAATAACAGGAGAGCAACAAATAATTGAAACATGACAAGACGAAACAAGATCTAATACATTTACAAACATGTTTCTATTGCATAAAATTTGTTCTTTACATTCTTAGGTCGTTTTAGAGAAAATAAAAATAAAATTTTGAATGATACAATATTTTTAAATGACAAGATTCTTATTACACATTTTCAACAAGGTACTATACAATAAACTGTGTATACATAACACATTTTCAATCCCTCCGATCTAATCTACTGAATACATAATAAATGTTTTTATTCACTTTGACTAGTGAACTTTTACTTGAACTTTAATACGGAGTACACAGATCTAACGAAAATTTATACGTCAACCGTAAATTGCTTTTTTTTTTCCATAAAAGTCTCACTCGTGAATTCAAAGTATAGTTGCTTGAAACGTGTAAAGCGATTAATGACAGAGTGCATAAAAAGAATGGAGAATAGTTAAGTACAGAAAAATGTGAAATGTACAAAGATTTGGCTTGCTAATTTTAAATATAACATGTATCCATTTTACGGATTCTTTACAAAATTAGTGTCATGTATTGCAGTTATAGACAAATTATACGTATGTATTTTTACCTAAATGATATGTAAAACAACTGTTTAATAACCTTACGGAATCCAACAAGAAATAAACGTAGCTTGACAGTAAAGAAAAAAAAAACAAAACTAAAATGTGATCCCTTTCTTTTTATATTATACTTATAAAATAATTTTTCAAATTACGTGAAATGTTGGAAATTCTGTTTAATCTATAATTCAATTGATTCAATTTGTAGTGATATTAAATTCTTAGTCTGAGGTATAGTTTGTGGTAGACCCAAGGGACGGTAATCTTTTTCTTTTTTTATTACAAAAGTTGTATTTGAAAACTGTTATGAATTAGATAATAAATGTTTGTTACGTAGTCCTTCGTTGAGGTTTCTGTCCTTTAATAATAGTTGGCAGGCCTTTTATGTATCCTTTCTTGCGACGTGGTGTCTGAAACATTAATATCCAAGCCCCCACAACTTCAACTACGTTTCAAGGTCACGCAAGGTTTTATTTTGAAAAACGGGAAACGATACGATCGAAAATCGAAAGCATAAAATTTTACATTATCTGCTTTGCCATAGGAACTAAAGAACTCACCTTTTTACTGATATATGAATTGGCATTACGAGCAACAACTCGTTTAGATATTGGAATACTAGGTCTATTAAACTCGTTTGGTTTTTTCACCCTAAAAATGATATTCCAATAAATATGTATACAGCCTGTAATATGCAAACTGTATGCTTGTCATTATATACTGTTACCTGTAAATCCTAACAAGCCAGTGTTCAGTTGTATAAGCTTCTTCTAAGTACGTTAATTGAAAATTCTTATTCCCTATTTCTGCGCTACGTGTACGATCATAACCAGACGGTGACCGATAATCAATCTTAACCTCTCCGAATCGGTAATAACTTAACTTGTACATCAATGAATTCAGAAGGGTAGGTGAAGCTTCAGAATCCACACGAAACTCTCCCTTTTCGCTGAAATAATCACTTTCACGAATGTCCTGCGGATGTTCACCTTCAGCGATTCGTACCATCCAGAGGAACTTGTTAACATCATCACCAGAATATCCAATCATCCCTCCAAAAATAACTAATACATAATCTACATCTAAAGAGGTCATAATTTCATAGGCAGCGCTTTCATTTGAGCTCATTGCTTTTCCAACTAGAGCTATATGAGAATTATTCCACGTATTATTGTCCACAAGTGTAGTTCTATATTAATAGAAAAATAAATAAACTGTTAGAATATCCTATTCCATAAAGACACACGATAATGACTGATTGTAAATGTTTATTAACAGTGTATACCTGTTAGCCATTCCAGCAATTTGATAACCATAATCCCACCAACTCATAATTCTGGCATCGGTAGGTGTGTTTTGTGCTAACCAATAATAAGCTTCCCTGAAATCGTCTAGTATGGCTCTACCACCATCGTTGCTATATGATGCCAGAACAATCGAGGGACTTGAGTATGCATTACTTGTAATCCAAGTACAATGCAAAGTGAACATCATCATCAACATAAATGCACCAATCACGACTCCATTTCGAAGATTAACACCCAATCCATCACCATTTCCTCGGGGTCTCTCGTGTTTCATTCTACGAATTTTGCCAGCTTTGTCGTACAATGCTCTGCCAGGACTCCTCTCTCTTTCTTCCTCGCTTTCCTCTTCGCTTCCGTTGCTACTTCGATCATTCCTCTCGCTGTCTTCCTCTTTAAAGAATAATTCTAAAAGATCGCTGAATGCAACACCGGCAAGCATACAAACGACAGGAGTTAAAGTGAGCATAAGCCTCACCATTACTCCAGCAAAGTAAACAGCACTTATAGCGTACAAGATAACTGCGAAAGAATTACAAAATTACTAGTACCTCTTGTAAATAAATAACAAGAGAATCATCTTGCGTGAAAACTTACCAAAAACACGTTCGTCATTGATGTGTTTAATACAATACCACAGACCAACGGGGAACGTGGTAACAAGAATATGCAAGTCGAAGAAAAAACTAAACCATGTTGTAGGTTGATGTTCAGATACAGATGCTATTATTGGAATGTGTATTTTTGCGTAACCAGTATCCCATAACGAATAAAATCTACCGCTCCAAGGCGCAACGATACCGGCATAGGTCAAGCAGATCAAAATCATTAGGAGGATACCAGCTGTGACTGCAACTACTCCACCAAAGTATTTCATTTCAGATTTAGTAAGTACAGTTCTCAAATACCTATGATAATTGAACAAATATGTTAATTTATAAACCACTTTTAATATTGGTAGCATGTGGATATCAAGTTAATATACCTGAGAGTTGCCACGAATATTAGTAAACCAAAGACACCTCCTGCGGCCATATGCTCTGATGTTCTTATTGGTTGAAAACCGACAAATGGTATTTGCATACTCAACAAAAGTCCGAGTATATAAAATGTGGTGTAACTCGTGAACAAGCGATTACTGAATCGATTCATTGCCAATAGCACGAAAACGTGGAATGGGATTAGATTGATAATAAAAACGTAACCACCCCATGCTGATACCATATAAAAATATGACAGAGCAGTCATAGAAGCCCAAAAAATCGAACCAGTTTTAACTGACTTAACCCATAGATAATATGTAATTTGCAATGCAAATATAGCTATGCCTTCATTGTCATAACTTCCTGCCACGGATCTTGAAATGTAACCAGGTACAATTGCTATAAAGCACGCTGCAAATAAACCAGCTCCAGCAGTCCATATCTCTTTTGTTAATAAGTACGTAGAAATGGCAGTAAGGCCACTAAAAATTGGAGCTAGGAATACACATATATCTCTTATGTGCACTGGAATATTTAATGAGTGTAATATGTAATGTATTGACCCAGATGTGATCATTAATCCTGGGTAAACAGTGCCACCCACAATACGACCCAATGGATACCATGCTCTTTCATCAAACCAGTTTAAGAAATTGTAAAATCCATGTTGTACCATATATGCTGTTGCCCTGTAGTTAAACCTACATGAAAAAAAATATTCTGTAATTACCTGTACCTTATGTAAATATTAAATTGGAGGTTTTATAGATTTATAGGATACATAAATAGGTACTTGGAAATGCGATAAAACAAGAATTTTGACAGAATTCAACAAAGTTTTCACCTCTCCTAAAATCAATACATTCGAGACCGATGAACCAGCATATAAATAAATCGTGTAATATCTCACCCACTTGGCTGATGACTCAGCATATGGGTCATGTACAAATTATACATAAATATCATCAGTTTCTGGGGATAGTTTTGTAATAATACGTCGGTCTCGAATGTGTTAATAAAGTTTTTCTCTTTTTTTAAATTAAAACACTCTTTTAACAGAAGAAAGAAATTTCTATTCTGTTAAAAAAAATAAATTACATTAAAACTATAATGAAATCATATTTTCGTAATAAAAAAAGTGGAATATATATTAAATTATCGATAAGTAGGTATATGAATCTTAATGTGATAATGCATACCAAGGATCGAACTCATGTATGATACTTTCGAAGCGTATTACTGCAAACAGCCGAGAGGCGAATCCTGAGATCCAAGCGAGCAGCAAAACAGTAAAAGTAATCAGAGAACTGAGGCCAGCGGCGTTCGTTAACGTAGAGGTTTTCATTTGCTTAGAAGTCGCTTTCTTATCGGGGAACATATCTTTCCTGGTATTGGTCGCGATGGACGATCTATTCGGCAACATATTTTTATGAAGTATACGAACGCAATGGGAAGTACTCTTCTGTCAACTTTCAGCAAACATTTGCCAGAAACATATTAACGTTTATTTTTCATACGACACGTTGCAAATCAAGCAGGCCGCAACAAATCACCAAATCACTATGCCTAGGCTAGGAGGCTAAGACACGTCAAACACCGGCTACGTGTTCACCATGACTTCCACCATTCCACACAGTTGTTCCCACTCGCGTATGAATCCGGTACAGAGGTGACGGTCCGTTCGAATATGCGCTTCAGCGCACACCGCGTACGACACGTTTTGTACGAACGATACCGATTGGTTTCGTTGACAAGACACAAAACCAGAATTAGTTCATCTGCCAATAAGATCAATTTCGTGTCAATATAATTTCCGGTCATCGACTATGATCTGTATAGGCACGAGCATACAGTCCATACAGTCCAACATAAAATACGGAGGTTATCTTCAGTTATCTTGCGAACGTCATATCCGGATAAATGGTACTCTCATTAAACCTATTTACATAGTTATAGTTGAATAATTGCATCTTGCACACATAGTATGTAACTCTTTTCGTATAGTTGGTCGTGGTATACTGCCAATCGCGGTACGTCTCACAATTAAATACGAAAGGAGGAAATTTGAATTTTATTTAAATTTAAAAAAGTGCTTTTTTAATGAAATCTAGTAGAAAACAAAAGGCATGCACATATGAACGAAACAATAAAATATTATTAACTGTTAACGCTTCACCGTGTCATTATAAAAAATTAAAAAAAACGGAATAAAACTTCGGTAAAACACGTGTTTTTTTAAAATATTATCGCTAAATAACACGATGTAAGAGGGAGCTGCTACTGCGAAACTAATAGAGACACTATTATATGTATTATTATTAGAGATGGCGTGAACTGCTACTTGTGAATCACGAGTGATTCGATCACGTTCGTTCCCAATCACGGTGATTTTTCACAGTGATTCGGGATTTTTCGTGATCGTTTTTCATTGGTCGAGAAACCTAACAGTTTTTTTACACGCGACACATAACCTGTATATTTTATATTAATGACGGTGAATAATTAGAAACAATGAAGAATAATGAATAAGTTATAAATTATAATCTACACGTTACCTAGCAAATCATTCTTTTAGAATTTCTTATTCTTTCTACTGATTTTTAAAAACACAAATAGTAATGTAATTCATCGTAAAATAATATTGAATACGTTTTTCTGTTTAAAGATCAAGGACTTACGATCGCAGTGAGCAAATTCAGTTGAGATAAAAAAATCGCAATCACGGTCGTGAATGAAGTTAAATCACGACCGTGATCGTGATTCGGCAATCACTGTGATAAATCACTGTTGGTGATTTTGCACGCCATCTCTAATTATTATAGGGTCTCTAGAAACTTAAATTGTGATTCTCGGGATTGAGGACTGTCGAATATATGTATAAATAGGTTTGAAACGTTTCAAAACTGTTTTGATCGTTGCTTCCGTTGCTTCTTATTTAAATAAGTACCTATTATGTTTCTTCGAGAAATTTAAAACTATTATTGTACCTATCTCTTAACCTTTAGGTCGATTAAACTCAAATGTCAAACATATAACGATTAAACGTAGCTAAGAATACTTCTTACGTCATTTTTGTGTTAAACGATATTCAAAGAAAATTATACGACTGTATTAAACAATACCTACTGTAACGTAATACTTTGAAAGACAGAAGTAAAAGATTGCTAATGTTTACTAGCAAGGTGCGACTGATAAAACGTACTGGAAAAAATACTATCGGTCGTTACGAGTTTTTAAAACTTCTAGCTACGGAATTTAAGACCACTAAATCTAAAGGTAAGATATACGAAGAAAAGGTTATACAATCACTCGTAACTAAAATTGATATTATTGATTTTACAGAGGCAAAAGAACAGGTATTGGCGAACCTTGCCAACTTTGCTTATGATCCTATTAACTACGGATATATAAGACAACTTCAAATAATTGATTTATTTCTTTATGCCTTATCAGAAGACAATGTGAAGTTAGTGCGTTTTGCCTCAGGAGGTATTTGCAATCTGTGTGTTGGTAAGCTTTTGTTTCTTCAAAAAGAGAATAACATTAATGATAATAAATCATTGATAACAAAAATGAAATTTCAGATCCAATAAATAAATTGTATATTTTACGCAATCAAGGTATTCAGTTATTGACATCCCTGCTTTCTTCGCAAGATGAAGATGTCTTACTTTCTGTAATTACTAGTTTAATATTTTTAATTACACCTGAATATAAAGATCAGATAAATAGTGATACAATTGACAGAATCTCTGAACTTTCATCAGACCTTCAACATAATCGTATAAAGAATGTGGCAACAGTGTTCTTGAATGACTATTCCAAAGCAACAATTGAAACTGAAAATATTAAGAATACATGAAACACATTGTTCATTCATCTTTATAAAGTAAAACATTAACAGTGCAACTTATAATAAGGCTAAAATGAAGCTGACAAAGACATTTTTGGAATTTTTAAAAAAGTATTGTATAGGAGCTTGTGATATAACAAACTCAAGGAATGGCATGAAAAATATAAAAACTGCAAATGAAGTATCAGTTTTTAAAACAATCACTGGCGATGATATATTAAATTTTGCTAATTTAACCGGTGATTATAATCCAGTGCACACTGGTTCTGCAAATAATCTTGTCCATGGTGCTCTTCTTAATGGCTTGGTATCAGGAGTAATTGGTACAAAGTTACCAGGTCCAGGAACTATACTAGTGCAACAAAATATTACATATCCAAAACCATGTTATGCAGGAGATAAAATAGAAATAAAAGTACAAATTGTTTCTGTAAGAAAGATCATTAAATGTGTGTATACTTGTATTGCAAATGGGGAAAAGATAGTTCTAAAAGGAGATGCAAAACTCATTAAAAATTCATGAAAGTGCACTGCATTTTGCAAAATGGTCACTGATATGAAGTTGAAACTATTTTTTTGTTGTATTTATTTCCACTTTAAAGTTGTAAGCATATTGTACAAATAAACGATAAAATGTCATGCTTAAAGCATGGTTGCAGCACTACAATATCACAAAATATTGCTTATTATGCATATAAACTGACCCATTTTAATTGCTGACACGAATAAACTACATACCTTCAGCAACACCTGCAGTCACTGACAGACTTTCATAGAGTTCAAGCAAGAGCTTGTTATACTGAGTTTATGTAAGTAAAATTGCTTGTAAGTAAATATAATTTTTATATTTATAGTTACATTCTGCTCTACATACACTACAGGTTTAGCATTAAGAACAAGTATTTTCTTTTACAGACAAAAAATGTACTTGTTATATTTATTATTAGTTGTTTGCCTTGCACCTGCACTTGCAGATGGTGAAAGAAAATTAAAACTTTCAAACAATACTATTCAAGTACCAATCGCTAAACCTCCTTCTGGCTGTACATGTGGAATCTTTCTAAGTGGTCAATTTAAAAAAGGCAGTAAAGAGAAACCTAATGGAAATCCTGCACTGGTCCACGATCAACCTGGAATATTTCCATGTACTCCAAGTGGAAATAGACAGTGCATAAATAAATGTTTGGACACTGTAAGTTAACTTCTTGCAAATACATGTTTTCATATTTTCTTTTTATTCTATGACCTCAAGAATTATTGAATTTAATTACAGATCATCAAGTATCTTCCAAACAGTTCTACAATATTATGTAGTTCATTAGAACGTGACTGTTCTAAGGAAAGAGTAAGTGTTATATCACGTTCTACAAAAATTTTACTTAAAAAAAAAAGACATTAATATGAACAATATGTTTTGTAATAGGCTTATTTATTTATCAAGAATTGTAAACACGAGTGGATTAACACAAATTTATCTGCTGCAAGAGAATATTGCTGCAAGAATGGAGCACCATATAAATGTCCGATACGTTAAAATATCCGTGACATACTTTTTGTAGTTTTTTACTTTATTTAAATTGATGAATGTAAAACCCCTTTTATTTAATAAACACGTTCTTACTTCCTCCGAAACTGTCTTATTGAATGTCCCGCCCCTTGTCTAAATATAGCTTCAAGATCGTCACCTACACTCCACATAGAATCAGAGGAATCCCGGATAAATATCTGAAATTGTCAGTCTATAATTAAACTTCTAGATGTAAAACTCAGTTCTATTTTGTACATCTCAAACACGGACATATTGTCCTTTATTTAAACATCGTTATTTAATAATTGAAATGTGACACGTGATTTTGATCTCTAAATGGTGTTAATGGGTCAAGTTCAAGCATAATCCCAATAACATTATAAATGACAATGTTAAATTTAAACTGACCAGTTAGTTTAATTTCATACTTCGTTAATTTTCATGCTCTAAAGGTCCAGGTCCTTTAAAAACATTGGATTTTATTGATATGAAACAAATGGAAAAAGTATCATACACGGTTATTAAATACTACCAAGGAAATTGTGCTACTTTGTAATACTAGAATAAGATGAAGATTTATTCCTATAAATAGTGAATGTTTTGTGTTAAAGGTATAGCAACTAAAAACATAACGGAAAATATGTGTGCACGACTGTTAGCATGCCCTTTATGCTCTCAACCAGGTTTCTTAACACTGGATGCTCTGCGAACAGGATTGATAAGTGTAGCAACTCGACCTCTTTCATGCCCAGTGTGCAATGAAATATTACTTGGTATAGACAAATTAACCATTCACTTATTTAGTCATACTATCAATTTACATAGTAACAATACAGTGGAACCTTCAAAACATACAAATATTGCCACCAGCAACAGTAATTCATCGACAGTACATAGTCCACAAAATACAAGTTTTCAGGATTGGAATGTATGTAAGATACAAGCCACAGATGAAAATGAATGTTTAGAAAATCATTTAAATATCCAAAGCAACTTAAAATCTTCGAAGAATATAGAAGCTACAGAAGAAAAACTTTCAATTATGAATTCAGGGGTTTGTATACAAGAACAAAGTTTGCCTATGAATAATACACCTGAAATTGCATTTCTACCAAATTCAATTTGCAAAAGTGAAAGCATAAATATGATTCAGAAAATTCATGAAAATGAAAAAATAATACCAAAAATAAAAAAAGATTCTCAACAAATACTACAAGGAGCTTTAAAAGTAAGTTATACCACACAGTATTACACAGCAGATAATATTAAACATGCAAATACAGTAGAAAATCATGCTCAAAGAGACCATGAGAATATACAAACTTTTAAACAATGGATTGAAAATCAACACTGTGACCGACAAACTTGTATAAATGGAGATACAAGTCCACTAGAAAGATTTAGAACAGAAAGTAAAGAATCTTGTAAAACTAAACAAAACTATAATGAACACATGGCACCGGATGATAAATTCCCAGCAACACATACTACAACAACTTGTACCAATGCATTGGCAGAAAAGTATAATAATGAGAAACATGGACAAGACAGTTCACCTACTACCTGTAATCAAAACCAAACTGATATTCTCAAAAATGAACAAATATTAACCCAGTTGAAACTTCTCAAACCATTGCCTACAGAGGAGAAGACTGAACATTGCAACATATGTGGCTTTCACTTTCCTGACTACAATATTCTGCTTTTACACAAACAATTAGTGCATACAATCAATGAAAAAGATTTGGATATCATTCCTGAAAACTTTCTTAAAAGTTATTCATGTCACTTGTGTTCTAAAATTTTTAAAATGCGTGGTAGTTTAATGGTCCACATGAGAGTAGCACATATGGGATACAATTTAGGTACTTTATTAATGTTATATTAAATGCATACCGTTTGGTACATATTAACAAAAAATATTTTTAGGCTCTTTAGCAAAAGGTGGACAAGTAGAACTTATCTTCAACGAGAATAAATATAACTGCCCTACATGCGGAAAAATATTCAAAAAGGTAAATCTATTGTGTTCAAAACATTTGCCAAAAATAACAATACACTTAATAATGTTTCAGGAGCAACATGTAATACAGCATTTAAAAACTCATGAAGCTAAGCAATGGGAATGCGATGTATGCAGCAAAATGTTCACTACAAAATATTTTTTAAAAAAACATAAACGATTGCATTCGGGAGAGATGCCTTATAAGTGTAATATATGTAATAAAACGTTTACTTTCCAACAATCGTATCATAAACATAGATTATATCACAAAGATGATAAACCACATACATGCGCGACTTGTAGCAGGTCATTTAAAGAACTATCTACTTTACATAATCACGAAAGGATTCATACAGGGGAGAAACCTTTTGCATGTGAAACTTGTGGTATGTGATTCCTCCGGGAAGGTTTTATTCAACAAATGCTATGAGAGTCTTGGATTAAAGCATGTTTTGTTTTCAGTTATTACTAACGATTTAACATGGATTGTTCAGTTTCTACAGTGTACATATAACAAAGTTTTGTGACCATTACTGCTATTATAAATGCAGCTTATACACGAAAGCCAAAACTAATAATAATATCAACACCAGATAATCAGAAGATTTTAATCTTGTGTAATATTCATTTAAAGAACACTAATTACAATTATATGTAATATTAAACATTACAATTTATTATTTTTTTTAGGAAAATGCTTCAGACAACGTGTTTCATATCTAGTTCATCGTAGAATTCATACAGGAGTTATGCCTTATAAATGCACAACATGTGGAAGAAGTTTCAGATACAAGGTATCTAATATAGTAATGCTCTGTAATTACAATGAATATACAGGGTAGACCAGTACAAGTAGAAAAACGCGGCAGGTCATTCTAATGTGGACACAAGTTAAAAATGTACAATAAAACTTTTTCGTATGATGCTTCTTTTCGAGATAGTCGAATTTGACAATTCATCTAGTACATATGTATCTGTCTTGAGAATAAGTAGAAACGGAATGTAATGAACAGATATGTGGCCAAATCCTATTTAATTGCACAAGGGTATTCAGAAAATTTTCAAATTTGATTATCTCGGAAATGAAACATTATAGGAAAAAATATTATTTTACATGTAGAATAACCTCCTTTCCGATTATACTAGCCATCCTGGCCCACCCTTATAATTTCAGTATCCATTTACTATTGCAGGTAAGTCAGAGAACTCATAAGTGTCCAGCACAACAGGTGGCAAATCTGCAACAACCAAACAGTATGGATCAGAAGGCAATACAGTTACCACATGCACAAGACTTAACTAATAATCCATGTAAAATCCAAAAAGATTCTGTAGAAGAAAGTCAATCAATTTTAAATGTTATAAATAACGAAGAGAATAAATACATCTTGATAATAAACACTCAGGGTCAACATCTTTTAACAAAGGAATCAAACATTAGTAATACACGAGTAATACAAGGTATAGACCAAAAATTAGATGAATGTATAAGCATTAATGACAAAAATGAAGAAACAAAGAATATATGGAGGTCTGACATTCCTAATAGCAATATATTTAAGAAAACACACAAAGTATCTGAAGAGCTATATTCAAAAAATGAGAAACCACTTCAAGAAAATACAAATGACTTCTTCTCAATGATAATATCTCCACTTGAAAATGGAATATCCTCTCCAACTGCTGAAATGGAACATTTACGACTATCATCACCAGCACAAAAAGATGTATTAAAACCTTATAATAATTTTGGCAATACAACACACGAAATAGATATAAATAACACAAATATAGAACAAAGTTTTAATAGTGAAGAAAATGTTACGAATACATTACAAACTATAAATGAAGAGTCTTTAAAACAACTTCTGTACGGAATTAATGAAAAATAATTAGAAGATCAAACACAAATAAGCATATAGAAAATAAATTATAAATTTCTGCTATTAGAAATAAATAGAAAGTCTGTAAAACAAAAATTATTTTATTTAAAATAAAATGAAAGAAAATCTATCGAATGTTTTCAAAATATAAAGACCGTAATAATTTATTTGACAAAAAATATCCTAACGCATGATTTAAGTACTTAACTTTTTAAATTTTTCATTTGTCATAATTCTACGACATTCTTTCCCGGTTGCAACGTTTAAAAGTTTAAACAAATCTATATATTTCGAAAAAGTTTTTTTCAAATTATAATGGATTGGACTTTTAAATAAATTAAACCACTTACCATCAACTGTATTTCTCTTACCTCGGTGTTTAAATCATGATCAATGTTTGTTTATGTCAATAAACCAATACAACCGTCGTTCAAAATTATGTAGTGCTATGTACCTAGTGTCCATTCTATTCCGAAAATCTGAATCATCGGCAATCATCAGCGACCTTGACAGTTCTCTCTTATACTTTGATATTTAATGACGTATAATATGCATAGCATATGTAATAGACTGCGCTGCTTATGTTTCCATATAATTGTTCCATTGTTGAATTCTCCTAAATTGCATTTGTGTATAAAGAATTGTTGGTTACGGACTTTATAATTAATATCTAATATTTGTGCACACAGTTGGAGTGATTGAAAAGACCCATAATGCCATCTACGATAAAGTACCGAAGCTATTAGTCAATACATTTTATCTTTGTGCCCTTAGATGTGTTACAATGGTTACAATGTCCTTTGGACATGCGGTTAAATAAAAAATTAAATATTTGTTAAAGAATACAACAATGAACAATATCATCGTATCGTATTTATTTGAAATAAAAGATCTTAGGCTTAAAACATTATAATTATTACCATGTACGTATATAATATAATGTAAATATGATATCAAAAACTAAATTAATTCAACATCTCATCTGTGATATTAATTTTGTTTAAACAGATGACTGCAGAGCATGCTTATGCCATCTAGCGACAAGTAGATGGCACTAATTGAATAGTGGCTTGGGTATTTCGCCGTAGATAGCGCTATGGTTCTTAGTGGTCATTACCATTGTGTATGAACAATTAAATATTAGTAAAAAACGTTGCAACCGGAACGGTTAATGCATGCTACCATGTGATGTTACCGAATAAATGATGTTGCATGTAAATGTACGATACGCCATTAAATATCCAAACATAAGAAAGTACTCTCATTTTGGCTAGTACTCTGAAATTGTGAAGTAAGGTGGACACCTATTTTGAACCACGATGTAGTATATGAAGGAATACACGTGCTTTCCGTTGAGTCGACCTGAGTCGACAGAAACAACCTGAATCGTGTATAATCCTTGGTCGAGATATCGTAGCAGACGACGCTCCAATCGACTTGACAGCATAGTCCGTATTTTCACGTGTCCTCTCTTGCACATCGCATTGCGTAACTGGAGTTCGACTTCCAGGGAGGAGCTCCCTTTTTCGGTAAGTGGATGTCCATAAATAAAATTAAAATACATCCAACGTCCCACAGTTGAGACGTATTCAACGGGTTAACCGAAAATTCATTCGATTTATTGGCCAGCGGATTTATCATTCACCCACAAGCTGTTTTGACGCAGCTGAAGAAATATTTTCAGTTTATCGGCCAATTGGCCACTACCAAATGAGGTTTTTCACCAATCGTGGATAGGTGTGCATATATCTGTCCCGATCAAACAATAGAACTGAAATTTTAATGTCTGTTACAACGTCGTAATTGTAAAAATTTACGGATTTCCATGGAATGTTCAAACGCGATGAAATAATTAGAAACATTTTATAAGTGTTCGATGACTATTTGCCTAGTTGACACAAAGATGTGTCACAGCTATTATCCTGTGCATCATTGTAAACATACAAACAAGATCTTTCACATACGAGACAGCTATGAATTGTTCACAAAGAGTTGATAATTCGTACTGAGATCGTATTGTAGTCAATTCTTCGGAAATCGGACTGATTTACTGACGCACACGTATACATATTTCCGTTGAAACAATATTTTCTCCTAAAGTTGCAACAAATCGGCTAACCAAAATCTTTATCCTATCTTAGATGCTGGTCCTTACCAGTAAAATGTTTATCGTATGTTTCTTTACTCATTTATGATAAATACTACTTGTAATCTTATGTGTCATCTATCATCTGTTGGCAGATAATTTAAAGTTATATCAGTACATAAATTTCTCGTATTCATTTGCAGACGTTTAGAACTACGCAATTGTAACATTGTACGGCATCGGACTGAATTCACACGATATCTCGTGTAACATCGCGTAACAGTACATATCTCGAGAGTACATTACATATACATACATATAACCGCTTTCAGTGTGGCGGGTATTTAACAGTTTCAAACGCCTAGAAGATATTGTCCCATCTATCGCAATTTGGAAGGTATTCTGATGAAATTGTGACAACTGCGATTGTATCGACTGGGAAACGTATAATAGTGATGAAACGAGTGAGTCAATAGCGTAATGAATTTCCTAAAAAATAATTTTTAAAATTCTCAGTGCATGCGGTCATAATGTAAACACTGGATACGGGGTGATTTAATATCATCGTAACACTACGACCACGAAAAACGTGGTCAAAACCCACTTACTTCTTTTAACTTTTCTATCTTTCACAATGATAACAATATTAAAGGCATATTTAAAAATAAATAAAGCTGTGAAGTAGGTAGCTGTTTCACTTGAAAATAAATCTAGTGAACAAGACTTTCATAACCATTAGTTAAAAGATATTGAGAGGAAAAATAAAATGAAGCACACAGGATGAAAAGAAAATTTGTATGTCTAATGAAATAGAAATTCCAACTGGTGCTATATCAAAATGTTTTGTATTTATCTGTTAGTCATAGTAAATTTTCAACTAGATTTCCTATTGATTATGAATTCTTGAAAATTCGTCACTGTGCACCGGACAGTCGGCCGATTAGTCGACTAAAGGTTTCATTAAATTGAAAGTACAACAAAAGTATTCGCCAAGCATTGTTAACATTTCCATTTTATCGAGTTCTACAGACGCATTTACAGACTAGACAATTTTGCAGACAAACTATAGTATAATCATTAATGTCAAAGCAACCGCCCGCGGCTAATTTTACGCCGTACACGAGGTGAAAGTAAAAGTTAGTAGTTTGAAGAAACCGTGCAGCAAGATGGCTATTCGCGCCGGTTTCGCATCCACCGCTGGCGCTGCTGCATTATGAGAGCCCGTGACTCTCGATCTCCACGCGGGTATCGAGTTTTCGAACGCACCAACGTCGACTCTGCGTATGACGTTGTCCCGATGGGGGCGGAGCGTCCTCCAGCTTCCCAATTCTAACCAACCCGATCCCGATAGCCGTTGCATTCCGCTGATTCGCCTCTCAGACTCTTAGTGTGCCTCGGCAGTGCGTTCGGTGCGTTTTTTGGTGTGTGCCTGTGCACAGGCATAGCCGCTTACCACCAACGTACGCGCGTGCTCGTGAACATCCATCTCACTGTTTCTTCTCGCATGCAACGAGAGAATCTCGTTGTGTCCGTTAAAATCGTCCAGCGAGAAGGCAAATAATCCTCGCGATGCCCTGGGCATGTTATTCTGACATTCAGGTAAATCATATCGGTAAAATTCTGTTTCTTCCTTTTCCCCTCCATTCTGCCCCTCTCCCTGCTTCCCCTGTTCCCCCTTTCTCTCCGAAAAACCTGCATACCCGAGTGAGATTCTCTTTTTCGAGGATCTCAACCTGAGGTTACACTACGACGACGACGACGACGACGACGACGACGACGAGACGAGTGTAAAGGCTGAACAGGGAGCGGGGGGGGGCAGAAAGAGATGGAGAAAGAACTCGTCCTCCATTACTTGGTCGCAAGCAAATGGTGGCTTGCTCGCTGACGAGTCTCTTTGTTATAATTATTTACGCCTTCCGTTTGTATCCTTATGGTATACCGTAGATCTGTTTTGTGGCTTTGTCGCGATCAGAGCAAGATCACAACGTTCATAGAAAGGGTCGTATGATGTCAACGGCACAATTTTCCATTGGTCATGATATTAGAAACGGACACCAGTTGTGTAGTGTTTGTTATGATTCTTGGGTTCGTTACTATCTCTTTCAACGCGGAGGAAAACATTAATTGCGCATCGCCTTCGCTCGTATTATTTTGTTACGCTCCTCTTATCCGAGTGCACATTCGTCCAACGTATTTAACCATAATAAATGGTTTCTTTCATAATCCACTTTGTCAGAATCGGAGTTCGTGTATAACGTCTTTTTTTTTCGTTCTTTTTTTCCTTTTGGTTTTTAATGCGCTGCTCGAAAACGGGTATACAAGGTTCCCTTTGTCGGTACGCATAAGGCTGTTCCGAGTTTTTCCGACTGTGGATATCTGGCTTTATGTAACGAACGTATTTGTGTTGAACATTCGATCGTCCGTCAATCGTGAATCATATTAGTTGAGAGTAAAGGACATTAATATTGACATTGGTCGCGTTTACACAAAGAAATTCGGAACAAGTGGATTTAAGTGTTTTGTGTACTGATACAATGATATTGTATGTCTATTGCATTGTTTTATATTATTGCGTGATTGAATGTTAATATGCACATTAAAATTATAATTATCTTTCACCACAGTTCATTGTTTTATTTTGTATATTAATCTTAATTCCCCTTTGTTCGTTGTAGTCTTATTACATAATGTGTAGATTGATCATTTTACAGTAACTGTAACTTTTACAAGAATAATTTCAATGAGTTGTCTTTGAATTGATATATTAAATGATTTAAATTTTCCAATACACAAAAACTTATCAACTTATCTTATTTATGTAATAGACAATAATTATTGAAAGTGTTTGTGCTGTTTATTTGTTTGCAGACAGTATAGTGGCATGAGTCGATTAATCTATGGCAGATCAACAAGATCATTTGTCATCAGGGGGGTCTGTAGAGACGGCAGATGCTTCAGCAGACACCTCTAAGCCTAGAGGAATCAGCTCTAGCAGTGGTAGTAGCAGCTATAGAAAACGACAGAGCATTGGTTCCAATCCAGACATTGTAGAAGAAAAAAGACGTAGAGAAACTATTGGTGACCCACAATCATCTGAAGTTTTTAATAATACTTCTTCGTATAAACATACAACTGATACTTTCAAACCGGAGGGTAGAACAAGAGGTGAACATAAAAGTCATGGCAGTGGCTTAGAATCATATCTAGGTATTTATATCTATAAAAATAATGGATAAAAAAAAGTATTTCTGTCAACTTTTTCTCCTGATATAATTATGGAACTTGTTAGATTATGTTACAAAAGTTTCAACAATTTTTTACTGTTCCATCACAGTAGGTTTTTAAACAATATGCCTTTAACATTATATGTATATTTTTTTTATAAGAATGTTAAATGTGTAAATACTTTTTATGTCTATTGTTTTTATAAGTTCCATATTTATTTACAAGTTGTTCAAGTTCATCTCCCATTCACTTTTTGGTCTATTCACACAAATAATGTATTCTTTTCTATTAACAGTATAAGAAAGCAATATGGTCTTAAAAAGTTTATTTTAACTAGGCTATTTTGTTGTACACGTTTTTCATTTTTTCTGTAGATACTGATTGGAGGCCACAGCACAAAGTTCAGCAATCAAATTATAATATCAGTGGGAATAGTACAAGAGTTCGTAGCACGACAAGAACAAGTCTGCCAGAATTAAATTTAAAAGCTATCGACTGTATCGCGTCGAGGACCCGTTCGCGAACGCCACAAAATTCACAAGCCATATCACAGGGACATAATAGTTTCGATTTATCGCTAACTAGTGGCTACAATAACAGAGAAGAGTTGACTTATCACAACTTGGTACCAACATCAAGTTCTACACCGCTTACTAGTCATCCATCCACATCCAGAGGACGAGGTTAGTTCATTTATTTATTTATATAAAAAGTGTTGGTTGCAATGAGATGTGATTTGAGTGTGACTTGAGTGATCAGATAATATAATTCGAAAATTGGTCGAACCAATACTTAATGTGTTAATATATTTATCTTAATCTGTATCATTAAAATACCTGTATAAATGCATAAATCCCAAGAAGACTAACAATTGGTAAACAATTGATTAATATAAATTTGTACCGAGCACATTGAATTGTTGCATTTACTTTTATCTAAGAGCTAACTAGATCGCAGTTAAGCTTTTAAATACGAATAAGTTTTAAGTTAAACTTCATTGGAAGTATTAAAAAAATGTATAATTTCCTACATCGTATATTGCTAACTCAAAAGTACATACTAGCAGTTTGATTCATTACAGGCAGATTATTTACTTAATACATTGTAGCATAATTAGGCACTTAAGTAACTTCCATTTGCAGTTTCTTTTCCTGTAGTTTATTCGCTTTATTTTTAATCATAAAAACATTCTTAAAGTTTCAACACTAGTAAATGTATTTATTATGAGATATTTATATAATTCAATGGGTTTTACGTTTGTTAAAATGTATCGAGACAAATCAAATTAGATTAGACAAATATTTCTGCTCATAAATATTTACCCATGATTAATTTATAAACAGACTTAAAACATTAGCAATTCTATACAGGATTTGTGAGAAAATGGAACGAAAGAAATTTGACAGATACTAAACATCTATACATTCCATACGGTAATATCATGTGAATCTAGTACATATGCTTAATGTATTGTCATGGTCAATTGAAAAGAATTCATGCTCGTGTGCACTAATAAACGTGTTTTGCAACCTTCATTTATTGAAGTAGTAGGTTAAAGATATAGGGTAGTAGAATTAGGTTTTCATTCTGAAGTGTCTTAAAATTAAAGAAAAAAAGGTATTACCAAAATAAAAGTCATAGATCAGACTGTATCATTAGGCCTGAGGATGAGCGAATGTCTGGAAGGATTTGTGTCTGCTGTCAAAGCACTTTTTCCAATATCAACACAAACGTATCATCAAGAAGGTAAGCCTAAGGAGTACACACTTCGTACTACATTTACTTCCCTTTATTTTTCTCTCAAGTCCATGAGTAGATATGTTTAAACGAATTTCACTATAAATCCGGGTGATTAAATTGATCCCCTTTTATCTATATGCAAGTATTGCATTTAATATGTTGGGCCGAAATTGTATGTATCGAATTTGATTTGTGCATGACATTTCTCCAGACATAGTGAATATGGTTCCAATATAATTACACAACATGTTTGTATCATTCAAAGTTTCATGGTAAAAGTACATACGGGTACAAACACTATCACTCATGATCATTTTGATTATTACTTGAAAATTATGGATTCTGATTTGATAATGATTCATGAGGTATGAAGATGTATGAAAATAATGATATGACATTCAACGAGGAAATTATAGATATAAAATGTTTGAAATTATTCACAGGTACGATAAATGACTAATGTGTACCAGATATTTCATTATGCAATCATTTTATGGAGGTTATTTCCTTAGCTCTGTTGACGCAAGTATTTATCAATGCATCTTTCTTTTTAAATTCTATTAATTGATTATTATTTTTAAACATTTATTACATTTTTAATGTACGATACTTAGAAGTTATAATACCTACATGATTATAAATATGTGTGATTTTTGAGAATTGAATATAAAAGTTATATAGCTTGTATGAGACATATATAGTTATTATATTGTGAATTGCGTAATGAATTCGTGTTTGGTACACAGGCTCGGTAAGAAAAGTTAGGAAGGTATATATGAAAATTTATATAGAAATTTGAACAGTTTATAAAAATGCAAATATATTAACACAGTACTACTTGAGTTCTAATTACGAAGCGAAAGGGTTTTTATGAAAATCAAGAAATAAGTCCGAGCAGTGATATGTAAGCACTATTAATTACTGCTTATATGTTTATGAGTTTACCATTCAACATTGAGATTAATGTTCATTACTTAGTAATTTCACAGTAACATCAGCTCATTTTTATTATAGTCGTAAAAGCAATGGATATTATGAATTTGCAATGCTACACATACTTTTTCATATCTCGCTCACATTGTTCTAAATATAAAACTATATTTTACACGAATCTATGAAATAACTTCGAAAGAAGGAAAAGCATGTACTGTACTTTATTAGCCGCAATGATGAAATATTTCTGCAAATATATCGAATTTAAAGAAAAAATTAGTATAAATTCAAGAAGATACATGCTCGAATAGGTTGTAGATTGCACAAAATACAATGTAACTGTTTCTTTACGTGTAAAGTTTCTATTTAGCGTGCACTACAATTATTGCACAGCAATATTAGCGTTTCTCTATTCTTTATTACGAAATGTGGTAATGAACTTTGACGATACGAAAAGTATAAGAAACGATCCAGCGATCGATGCAAGTACTTAAAACTCAATGTTTCACACGACACACGTAATAATGACACGATGTTTAAATATTTTAGGATCAAAGTCTCACGGCGGTGCAACCTGCGCGAGTAGCAGCGCGAGTAGTCAAGTTTTGAGTGTAAAGTCCAGCATCAGAGTGGGTAACGCAGCCAGTAATTCTGTGGAGAGCGGTGGGGGGGCGTTGGCACATGACGGGGCAGGCACTAGTGGCATCACAACAACTGCCACTGCCAATCCACCTGTGTCTGCCACCGCCGCTGCCAATCTTACACACCCTCATCCTACGCACAAGCATATATTACGTCCCCGCGCAAAACTCTCCAGCGAGCAATCTAAAGAACTGCCAACTAGTAACAAAACTTCTGGAAAGCATCATAAAAAAGACTCTACAACGGGTACTTGTTCGAGCTCCAGGTAATTAACATATCGTATTGTAACGTACACTATACCCATGAATATTCGACCATCCATATTCGATTCGCTTTACTGAGAAAAATGTGCCAATTTTTCTCGAAAGAACTGATTTCTTTCACAATAATGTACGCAAGTCAAACAACATTCATGATCATTTATTGAAAATATTCCCAAAGTGAAATGTAAAGTGAAAAATAGTAAAGTAAAACCGTTCTTCGATAAGAGGGTAAATATGCTTATGAACGAACAGTGTATTGTATAGTATCGAGGAACTCTTTATGCAGGCACTTTTAATGTTTACTTCTCTATTAAATGAATGCTGAGTAAAAATGGGGGGATATTTGACCAGGGGATGCCTACAATGTTATACTCTCCGTTATAAGTTAGTTGTATGAAATATCAATGTAATCGAGTAATGTATTTCTTTACCAATAGTGCTACTCCAACGTCGGTATCGTCTACAGTTCCTGGCAATCAATTGGTTACGACAACAGGCGAGGACGAATCAGCGTCTACAGCGACATCTGCAACTGGTAAATTTACTTAGAATTTTCTCCTCGTGACAACATCGCGCGTATCTTGTTCTTCCAAGATATAATTTTCCATTTATTTCATCAGCAAGCGGTGGACCGTCCGGAATGTCAGCCACTACAGGAGATAGTGAAAGTGATGATGGCGAAGTTGGAAAGTTACAAGCTTTACTGGAAGCTAGAGGATTGCCTCCTCATGTGTTTGGTGCATTAGGACCACGAATGCAACATTTATTGAACAGGAGCATGGGCGCAAGTTCTGGTAATTTTCCTTTCTTTTCAGATACTGACGGAAAAGAAAAACTGCTCTTTGATCGTGTAATTTACATTTCATGTTATTATAATTTTCAGCTGCAAAGGCACAACAGCTCTTGGCTGGACTACAGGCTGTTGACGATGAAGGAGAACAGCTACAAGCTGTGATCGGTATGGGTGAAATTCTGGTAATGGGAAACGAAGATACGTTGACTGGTTTTCCAGTGAAACAAGTGGTTGCAGCTTTAATCAATTTACTTGGGATAGAACACAATTTTGTAATAATGACACATGCCTGTCGTGCCCTGACGTACATGATGGAGGCTCTACCTCGATCGTCGACAGTCGTGGTCGATGCTGTTCCAGTTTTCTTACAGAAACTGGAATCTATCGAGTGTATGGACGTGGCAGAACAGTGTCTGGCAGCATTAGCGATGCTGTCGCGGAGACACAGCAAAACTATCTTACACGCGGTATGTATACCTGACGGAGAAGATACAGCAGCGTGGTTGTAAAAAACGGGTTGGTAGCTTTTGAAACAAAAGAATTTATGGAAATATGATGGGGGTATGAAGGTTTTTTCTTTTTTTTTTTCAGAGATTTACTTTACCAACCACGCTGTATCATTTACACCTACTATACTAATGTATCGGAATATAATTTAAAAGCAGATATACTTATACATTCACTTTCTACACTTTAGGGTGGAGTATCGGCTTGTTTGAAATTCGTCGATTTCTTTAATATCGCGGCTCAACGGGCTGCGTTAACGATAACCGCAAATTGTTGCCAAAATCTCCATCCTGATGACTTTCACTTGGTGGCCGACAGTCTGCCTTTATTGACCAGTAGATTGACAAATCAAGATAAAAAAAGCGTCGAGTGTGTCTGCCAAGCATTTAGTCGTTTAGTTGATAGTTTTCAACATGATCCTGTAACTTTGCATAAAATCATCAATGCAGAACTCCTTCAAAACTTGCAACAATTGGTAAGAACTATATTTATCTTACTGTGTTTTTACAATATAGTATTCTTGTACATGATACAATCACCGGGGTGACATACATATTTATTACATGTATATTTTTTTCTTGCGTTTCTTCGACATTTCAGCTTATGATTACGCCCCCTGTAAACAGCATTGGTAATTTCATAACAGTGCTACGAATGCTCTCTGTGATATCAAATCGCTGTCCCGACTTGGCACAGCTGCTTTTGCAACAAAATATAGCTTTCACGCTGAGCTACCTTCTAACCGGCTCACTGGAAGTGAAAACGGAGGACGTGGAGTTGGTGCCGCGTTCTCCGCAAGAGTGGTTCGAAATCACCTGTTTGATCGAGGAGCTAATGCCTCCGCTACCAACAGATGGTATATTTAGTGTAAATAGTTTACTCGAAAGGACCAGTAATCAACAAGAAAACGTTCATTGGGAATGGCGCGATGAAAGACACTGTTACCATCCATTCAGTACCATCGACTCTAGAATTATCGAGGTATCGTATAAATTTATACGTTACTACAAAATTACAAGTTTATCTGAATAAATTATTATATAAAGAAAAAATATGTGCGTGTTGCAGATGGCATTTCAGAATGGCGAGGATGAGATTTGTCTTTCCTCTTTAGGACGAACGTATACGATAGATCTGACTGTGATGAAACAAATCAATGAAGACATTGGAGTGGCGAGAAGCATTTTTCGTAGAGTAAATGCTCATCCCACTGAAGGCAAAAGCCCTACTTGTTTGTCTAGGTAAACATAGATTCTTCACACAACTACATTTAAGGACGCACACTTCATAAATTCTATTTATTTTACACAGTATGGATGTCGTACCACCAGTAATTGAAACAAACGAATGGCTAGTGTCTTTCATTCGAACTTTATTCTCAGTGCTGTACGAAGTGTATAGCAGTTCTGCTGGTCCTGCTGTAAAATGTAAATGTCTTCGAGCTCTATTACGTATGGTCTATTATGCTTCAACCGATTTACTTAAGGTAACTATGAATAACTCTAGTTTCCCTTGAAAACACGCATCAAACTTTCTTATTATACTTTTAACTATAAATAATATTTAAACCCCTCGATGTATATTTTTCATTTATCCAGGATGTCTTAAAAAACCAAGTTGTATCGTCACACATAGCGGGTATGCTGGCGTCCCAAGATTTACGAATTGTTATCGGAGCTTTGCAGATGGCGAGTATATTAATGAAAAAGCTACCGCAAGTGTTTGGGGTTCATTTTCATCGGGAGGGTGTACTGCATCAAATACGACAACTAGCTGATCCTGAAGTACCTCTTGGTGTTTCACCGCCAAAGTGTCCTTCTGGTAATTCATTGAACACAATTTATCTTTACTAAAATACACGTGTCATTCCATTCAGAGATGTAGTGCAACTCTCGTATGTTTTTAGGTACATCATTACCAACCCCACAGCCAGGTCCGTCTAATACATCACTTTCTTCCACCACAATGTTGTCTTCTAGTAACGCTACATCTCCAATAGCTTCTCCATCGACAAACGGTAACATATTATTCGGTACGATTGCAACGTGTCAATTGAAACCAAATCTTTCCGCGTCGATGGAAACACACGCCAGGAATGAATTGAATTCCACGGTGGATGATGTCGCAACGCCGCAAAGTGCTCATTTGTATGTATACAATTAACTGGATATGCGGGTTTTTCTAGATAATAGAAAATATCAAAAAATTTCAGGCGAATTGGGGACGTACTGAAGAGGAAACGGCAAAGCAAGAAGGGTCGATTTTCTAGGCTAGGCGGTACAACACCACAACAAACTCAACAACCCGAATCACTTTTCACCGGTTTCGCACCTAAAAATAATCGTTTCTTAGCCAATCTTAATCCCGCTAGATGGAGTCGAAAATCGTCGTCTTCGAGTTCCACGAGCGATAAAAGAGATTCGAGCTCGTCGACGAGCTTGTCCAAGCCACCGAGTAATTCGAGTTTAACTGGCGGTAATCGGGATAAGGCTAAAACATGGGTACGTGAACAGGCTGCTCAATTCTTGACACGTTACCAGGACAATGCACCTTGCACGCATCCTGCGATGACAGTCCTCTCGAGACTCACTGCTGCTATACAACGGTTACAATCGAATGTATGTATAATTTATATACGTATGTCAACTTACAAAGAACAGAATATACTTGAATATTTCTGGTGCATTTGAAAGCAAAGGAAAAATGTGTTTATAGAATAAAAGTTACACGTTTATGGAACACGTGTCTATGGTCTCACTGGGAAATGAAAAATCTCGTGTTGCAGAATAGTGAAAACTTTATGCTTGGTTTTATATTTGTCAAATCTACCAGAAATATTTGTGTTTTGTACTCGTTATACATCATATACATCGTTCTGTACCGATATGAAAACAATACTTTAATAACAGGAATTGGATGAAATGTTGTCTGCTCTTACTGAACTGCGAGATATAGTACTTGAAAGTGACATATCCCCGTTCGAGATGAATTATAGCGGGCTTATTAAAGCTTTGCTCAACTACCTCACAACCACGGATGCTCCTGGTAATCGTTATGATCGTCTTCGCATGTTCTGGAAATTGTTTGCAGAATCAACTGTAAGTAAACGACGAAGTCTTGTTTATATTGTAGGACGATAAAAATGTTGTTTTTTCCTGAATACATTTCATTTTCAGATGCAGCAAAGCAACAATGCCATGGACCTTAATCCTGGAGCATTTGGGGCCCTTGTGGCGAAACTGAACAGTTGTGTTGCACAGTTGGAACAATTCCCTGTGAAAGTTCATGACCTACCAGCAGGATCCGGTGCTGGCCGTGGAGGCACCAGTGCTCTTAAATTCTTTAATACGCATCAACTTAAGGTACACTCCCATACACCTTTAAATTTACTTACAGACCATTTGATGATAAGTTTCTGTCTAGGAATTGCATATTCGGTTCTTTACGTTCTCTTACAGTGCAATCTCCAACGACATCCAGATTGTAATAATTTAAAGCAGTGGAAGGGAGGCACTGTCAAAATAGATCCTCTCGCATTGGTACAAGCGATCGAACGTTATTTAATGGTTCGTGGATACGGTAGAATACGCGAGGCCGAGTCTATGGTTAGTGACGACGATAATAGCGAGGACGACATAGATGACACTCTGGTAATCTATATTTTATATGTATATACTTATATAGTTCTTTTCTTTCCAAGTATAATGATAGAACGCTGATATACACGCAAATCAACGGCTTGATATATTAATTAACAAAAATAAACGTTTTATATAATGCTGTAACCGCATAAAGTGTCTGTACTGTAGTACAATAGTAATCTTTTAGGACGAATAGTATTTTGAATGTATCTAAACTTACAGGCAGCCGTGGTTATAAGTCAAGGATCGGCAAAGCATAAACTCCAGTTCTTGATCGGGGACGAGGTGCTGCCTTTCAATATGACTGTTTATCAAGCTGTCAGACAGTTTGGTTGTTCTGGCATCGATCATTCTGAAGCTGAAGCTGACGGTGAACCACCGCTCGGTCACGACGCCGTATGGGTACAAACACATACAATTTATTACAGGTATTTTCATTTCATTGATTTCATTGTTTAAGTGAATAAAACAAATTTCAAGCCCCACGAATGCCTAGGCCTGTGCCAGAAGAGGAAATCACAACGTCACCAAAGCCAGGATCAAGTTCGCAAGGTAGTAGCCGTAAGGGTAAAGGAAAAAGTACAAAGATCAGCTCGAAACGGAAAGAGGATAGCCTGTGGCTCGAAGGAACAGTCCCTCCGCAACGATGTCCATTGGAACCTTACCTATCCCCTACTTTGCCACCCTCGGTTACCATTACGGACGCTTCGTTAGACGGTTTGTGCTTGCTGCGTCTTCTACACGCCCTAAATCGTCACTGGGGCGGTTTATTTCCTCATCTGAAGGTCGTAAGCCTACTTTCTCCACAAGACTTTATTAATAATAAGATAGCCGCGAAAGCGAGTAGGCAGCTGCAAGATCCTCTGGTAATCATGACTGGAAACTTACCTTTGTGGTTGCAACAAATCGCTACAGTCTGGTCAGTATTGCAGATCGTAACAAGTATAAATAGTAATGCAATCCCATAAACTTCCCAGATATACAATACATTTACCAAATCGTTTGCAGTCCATTCCTGTTTCCATTCGAGACAAGACAATTATTACTCTACGCGACATCATTCGATCGGGACAGAGCTCTGCAACGCCTCTTGGATTCTGCGCCAGAATTATCAGGATCTGACAGTCAAGAACGCGTTACACCACGTTTAGAACGGAGGAAAAGAACTATATCGAGAACTGACATTCTCAAACAAGCGGAACAAGTTATACAAGACCTGGCGTCTAGTAAAGCCTTACTTGAAGTGCAATATGTTAACGAGGTTATTATTCTGTTTTTATACTTTATAGAGAAACCAAAAAAGAAATATTAGCTGAGGATTAAAGGAAAGACAACTGTAGTATCTAATAGAGGGTAACAATTCGTTATTAGTAGGATCTTTAAACAGATTTCGGATGGTAATATGTACATATGTATATTATTTATCTGTAATTCTAACATATGATAAACTCGTATGTTTACAGGTTGGTACCGGTCTTGGTCCAACATTGGAATTTTATGCTCTAGTCTCTCAGGAATTACAACGTGGTGATCTTGAACTTTGGCACGGTTCTTCGAATCCCACTGAAGCGGGATATGTTAACCCTCCGCATGGACTTTTTTCAATGCCAGTCTCATGGAATACTAAAGTGTCCCATCTTGCGAAGCTTAAAACAAAGTTTAAGTTCCTTGGAAAGTTTATGGCGAAAGCGATATACGATTCAAGAATGGTACAATTATTCTCTTTTGATTCGTTGAGTTGTACCCACTGTTTACAGTGTTATAAGAAAGAAAAGAAAAAAACTTACGTTCTTAATCGTTTGCAGTTGGACTTGCCATTTAGCTTAACTTTCTATCGTTGGTTGTTGGCAGAGGAACACACATTAACGTTATCTGACCTTGCGTATGTGAATTTCGATGTATATCGAACTCTTAGTAAACTGCAGGAAATCGTCAGGCAGAAGGAAACAATCGAGAAAGATCAGACACTGAGACCACATGAAAAAGCACAACTAATAGATTCATTAAGTCTAGACGGTTGTCCAATTGCAGATCTTGGCCTTGTTTTTGAATTACCAGGTTATGAGAACATTGAATTGAGGAAAGGCGGAAGTGATATACCCGTTACCATCTTTAACCTGGATCAATACATTAAGGTATTTATATTTAATATACAGGACGCAGCAGTAACTACATATAATGACTTAAACATCGATGGAATTGTGTCTAATAGAAATATCAGTTTTAGTAACACTTGTAACCTTTAATTCCTAGATTGAGTCGCTTCTGAGATTTAAATATCACTTTTCTTTCTTCTAAAACAATACGGTGCAATATTTTTCTTACTCTTAAATAATTAAGTTAGGCTACGATGATGCAAGTCACTGCTCTGCTAGCTTCGTAACACTTCTCCCTACTCATTTCTCTCCAAGCCGCTGCTTATTCTGTACTATAAGATTCCACACTATTCACGTTACCATTTAATACTATTTAAAATGAAATTTTCAGTTAGTGGTACATTGGTTCTTGTACGAAGGTATCTTCAGGCAAATGGAAGCTTTTAGGGAAGGATTCGAATCTGTATTCCCGCTAGTGCAACTGCGACTATTCTTCCCCGAAGAACTCGAAGCTGTATTCTGCGGACATGCACAAACTGGTGGACAGTGGGATATGAAAACACTGTCGGAATGTTGCAGGACTGATCACGGTTACACTCCCGATTCCCGTGCAATCCGTTTTCTGTTCGAGGTTATGTCGAAATACAATAGTGAAGAACAGAGACAGTTCATTCAGTTCGTCACAGGTTCACCGCGATTGCCAGTTGGAGGTATGTAATTTACCGTTTACTTCATAATCTATTCGATATACTTTGTGAAATACGAATAAATAGATATAATGTAGTTTCCGTAAAGTGAAACAGGAATTGAGATTAAATGTTCTTTACAGGTTTTAAGAGTTTAACGCCACCGTTAACGATTGTGCGTAAAACGTTCGATCCGTCAATGAAGACGGACGATTTCCTACCATCTGTAATGACTTGCGTTAATTACTTAAAACTGCCCGATTACACAACCATAGAAATAATGCGGGAAAAGTTGCGAATAGCTGCACAAGAAGGACAACACTCGTTCCACCTTTCCTAGAAACGGATGGAAAACCGACGCAACGTTTGCTCTTTTGCTATCGCATTGCCCAGGTTGAGACCAATTATCCAAACCGCATCTAAAATATCCAAGAATACGAAAAACGGCTGCGTGTTTCGCTCGAAACTCAGTAATCGCAGTTTTGCACTTTATACACTTTTTCTTTCTGAAGATTATCTTTTCTTGATTTTAGCGAGAATTCATTTAAATAAATCCTAATTTGATGTTTGTCTTTTTTTATTTGTAAATTTGGATTGTGATATACTTTATCAAGACTAAAAAAGAAGTGCAAAGACGATATTAGCCCTACTGTAATGAGTTTCCTCTTGTGGTATTACGACAAGTAGGTAACGCGAGAGCAACCTTGTTCCAGGAAACTTGTCTTTGATGTGTTACAATAATTAATAAAAAAAAATTGTAAATATAGTTTAATATACGCAATTCTATATAAATACTTTATATAATAATAATAATAATAATAATAGTAATAATAGTAACGACAAAAAAATGATATTGCTATGAAACTCTATATAATAATTAAAGTATAGTTTGAAGGGGACGTTTACTAGGTATAAGTAAATTTTATATCAGTGATGCATTTAGCATCGCCATGAATCGCCAATCTCATGCCTCACAAATTTACAAAGAGGTGTCACACGAGTTGAAAAATGAATTTGTAAACAAATATGCTCTACGAAACGAAGTGAGCTCGTGTTTCATCACCATGTAAGCAGAAAAGAAAAGAAAAGTATAGGTTGGAACGTAACACTATGGATTAACAACCATCGTTTTATTTTCGTGAATCGATCTCTCTTGTGTTCGCTGCTTGATTTCCAGCGTCTGCGAGCACTGCGCGAGCACTGACGTGCAAAAACACTCCTATATTTAAGTTTATTCGATGTATCACCAATTAAACTTATTTGATATTTTTATTCTAGGTAAGATAGTCCAATTAATACTTTACTTAGCCGTGTAAAAGTGCAGCCAGCATCGCCAGACCGAATCACCGTTAATGACACGTGAATCGAAGAGAAAATTCTTATATCCCCACTTACTTACAGGCAAAGTATCTATTTATGAGAAAAATGTACGACAAATGTATAATATGAAATAGAATGGATATAAAGTCAGCGAAGCTGGTGTATCAAATGGATTATACAAGGTACATTACTTTCTTATATCTCTGCAGAAATGCGATTTTAATCGGAAAATATTGTGAAAGTGTGAATTGATTAAAAACCAGAGACGAGAGGGAAATGAACAAAAATGATAATACGCGCAACTATTTGTTTTACATTTATATTGTGTACCATTGCTTTGAACGATCAATTTATATACATGCCTTTTTGATTTTTTATTTTATATATATGTAAGAGTTTTAAATAATTTTTTGAAATATGTCTAAATGTTGCTTCGAAGCTCCGCTGTACCAACCATTGCGATAATTTTTTTTTTTAAATAATTAATTAATTAAGCATCATATATCCGCAAAGTTTGTTCAACCGTAACCCACGATATTCTTATATTTCGTAATTCAACATTTTACGATACAGTTACAAACAGGTTACACTTATATTTTTGCATTAAATTTTTAACGTGAAACAATGACAAATTTCAGCTGGTAATGTATACACAATAACTATAGAGAAATAGAAATCATTGGGGAAAAAAGAATTTTAAATGTTCAAAGGATGGAGAGACATATAGATGCATTGTACAATGTGTAATGGTTTAAGATACAATCGAAATCATAGTCGGTAATATTATAAACAAAAGATATATTTATATCGATTCCTTAGCATAAATGAGTTTTATTCAAATTAGATTTTGTTTCATTAGTAGCCTTTAATATGTAAATGTAAGCACAATCGTGTTTGCCGGCAAAATATATTTCCTGATCGACACATCTATCGTAAGTGAAATATATCGTATTATTACAAATTATTACGTATCACAGTATAAATGACTTATTTCAAAAGTTATTAAGAACATTACATTTGTGTACACTTTATATTTCAATGGTTTTTCATTCTTCTCTTAAAAAATATCAATGTCTTTTTACATACTTAAATGCACATACTTAACCATCCTAATATTAAACATACTCCTCCTATTGGTGTTAATTTACTAAATTTTTTATCGCCTGTAAACGCGTAATAGTAACATGAACCAGAAAACAGTACCATACCAGACATCAGGAACATTGCACCCTAAAATTAATACAAGAATCGTCAATACAACAATGAATAATAAATATTCATGAAAAATAACATTGTATACTATGTATATTACATTGAAGTCAAACTTACCAAGAAGGGTGCTCTGCAAAGTGGTAAACCTAAAACTGCCAATGTATGTATGAAATGATAACGATTTGCAATTTCAAAAATTTGTTTGTGATCCAGTAATTTATTCTCTGGGTCTTGTTCTTGTGGATATTTTCCTGCAGTCACAAAAAGTCAGAATTATTTTACAAAACATAGCTCGTATACAAATTAAAAGTTGTTTATCTTATGTAGTATATGTGTATGGAAACTTCTAAACACTGGAACTTTGGAGTTAGTTATAAGTTAGATTTGGAATGTTGTACTGCTCAATGATATATAACATGTAAAAAAGAAAAAAAACGACGTTTCTCCTACTGTGGGATCCGTAAGCACCAAGAGCAACAGCTGCTGCTCCACTCAAAGCAGCAAGTCTCACATAAGGTCCTGTTGCAGATGCCAATTTCCACAACGGTATTGGTGGTGCCATTCTTATTTCTACTTTGGGTGAACCTCTTATTAAATTGGTGGTTACCTATCAAAAAAAATTATTTATTTCTTTTTACCAAAATATGTATTATAATTTACACAATATGAAAGGTAAGTTTCTATTTACAAAGCTACAAGGAATATTAGCTTTTTAATAACATAAAATGTACAGTTTTAAACAATACTGTGAGTCAATCGTTACAAAGATAACACAAAGAGATGTTAAAAAGTGAGTTAGTATACGGTTATTTACGAATGTATTTATAGCAAGGACAAAGGTACTATTTATGCAATTTTATATCCAAGTTTTTAATCTTTCTTTTCTTTGTAATAGTGTTCACTGACAACTTCTAAATTATGCCTAATGTTAAAGGTTCAAATTAAAACTTAAGAAATGGTAAGAATTTATGTTAATCGTCACTTGTAAATGTTATATGCAACTTCAATAAATTTACAATAAAATGTTTTTTTTTAAACTAATATTTGTTTTGAATAAGAGTGCGAGTCTTACACTTCCAGCTGTATTCCAGAAATACGATGCTGCACTAGCAACTGGGCTGAATAATTCTACGTAACTAATTGAATATGACATTTTCACATTTCTGCATCCCGATTTAATTATATAGAATAGTTCCTTTCTGCACTTGTTTCGGTAACAGTACATACCTCCATGTGCAACTATTTGACTCTGAACGCTACACCCTATTGGGTGAGCGGTAGCAAATGAAGTGAAATCACTCATTGGTTGTGTCATCTGAACGCAGCCAATCACGTTCGCTGACGTTGCGCAGTTATTTTGTCGCTTGGCAGCAGCCAATCACTTCACACACACACAGGGTCTCGTGTGCATGCTCCGGGGGTTCTATGACCCCGCAGTCACGGCATACAGGGTCTCTTACGCATGCGCCAAGGTTTCTATGACCCCTCTTACCAAGCTACTGCACAGTTCATCGGGATCATTAAGGGATCCCCTCCTCCACGGGAGTTTTCGGACCTCTATATACGACCGTGGTCAATGCTCACTCCATTCGATACGAATACTTTTGTTCGATATCTACCTGGTATCGCAACCGCAGGTATCGAGTAATGTACTCGTATTTATTTGAATCTATTCATCCTTAGGTCTAGTGGTTTGTCTTGTGTAGACAAACATGCGCGCCCTGCACAACGAGTGGCATTTATTGGTACTATACCGTCGTAACGTCACGACAGATTAGTACTAATGAACACCACACGTTGTGAAGGGCGCGCATGTTCTGTCTACGCTCGAAAAGATCGCTAGAACTCTACAAAACTGAAAATTTAGTCTATGGGTAGGTACGGGTTTGGCGACACTGCTCAGAGGCTGTCAGAGACAACAAAACTCCCAGACATGAGCACTGTTATTTCCTCTCTGATGGAAGCAATGAATTCGTTGAACGTAAACATTATAATAACGTGGTACAATCGAGTTCTTTATCTCTAGATACAATTCTTTGTTTAAACCAGAAATTATATGTTACGGAGAGTAACAGCATTATACAATTTAAATATACCCAGCAAAAGTATATTCGTACTAGATTGTTAAAATTTTACAATTATTTCATAACGAATAAGATACTGTTTATTATTAACATAACCCGATTCACTTTTTATGTAAATCACACAATGTAATGTCAATAAATTCGTTTTGGTAAACATTCATAATCTTTCTAAAAGTTGTAAAAATTCAGGAGAAAGGAAAAAGAGACCAAGCATTATTACCGTTGTCGCCTGAAAACCAATCATTTGATGCATTCAAATTTTATGCTTATGAAAGAAGAATATTTCTAAATCGATATATATATATATATATATATATACATTGTGTTGGTGAGAGGTTACAATATGATGGAATCGTTATGCTAATAAATATAAATCGTGAACAGAACTGTCAACTCGTGGCAATTCAAATGCAACAATAATATAGGTATTATCGTTGTACAGGTGGAGCCATTGGAAGACTTGAAGCATTAACATTTGACATAGCTGTGTTAGGTCCTAAGAGAACTTGTTTCTGCTGGGTACGTTGGGCCTCTTCCATTTGGGCACGTTCTATTTCAAACAATATAGGTGCAAATAAAATAGCCGATGAACTGAAGAACAACCATGCTGCAGAACACGAGAACTTGTATAATCCTATAAGTGAAATATCCATATTTGTTACAAGATACAAGGAATCCTTCCTTTTTGTATATTAAAATGATTCTGCAAAAGCCAATGCATACTAACCTTTCGTACAAGTACACAAACAAGTACCAACATTGTACCCAAACTTGCGTACTTCCTCGGGAAACATTTCTGTAAGACCGAATAATCTTTCTGCGAGGCTTTCGTCCTAAATAAAAAACGAATCGTAAGTGCATCAATAAGTCGTAAACGCAAATGAATTGTTAGTAGTCGAATCGAAATGTATCAGTGACAAATAATAAAAAAAAGATATACCTCTTCATCGTCTTCGTCATCGGGAAGAAGCGATTTCATCTCCGGAGAACATGCGTCGCTATTACCCATGCCGCTATCCAATTGATCCAGTTCTTCGATTGAAGCCATTTGTGAAAACAATTGACGACGAACAAGGGAACAAGCGTTTTCGAATTGTGTTTAATTAATTCTTTCTAGTAAACTATACTTGGAAGAAGATCAGTCTTTCCTTTCCTTGCCTTGTTGCAGGTTGCTCTATACTGCTCTATACTCTATCCACGATACGATGAATGTATGGCGACTCACGCCGGTGTAGAATGCATAGATAATTGTGTGATACAGTTGCAATGTAACTCAATCTAGATAGGTACGCTCGACCTCTGTGAAGTTAGCCGGACAATTATGACTTTTTAACGTTTCATTATACCCAATTGATTGGTGGTCGTTTGGTGGTTATTGTTGGCCTAATTACAACATTTGGTAGTCACGCGTTCTTTTATAATTAAGTGATCAAAATTTGACCGTGAAGTTAGCCGAAAATTTTTTTTTTTCGCCAGATTCAATTCTTTAAATGCTCAATCGATGCGTAATCGTTTGGTGGTCATTGGTAGCCCAATTACAACATTTGGTGGTACTTAGTTTCTATAAAAAACGAAAAAAAATAATATAGTCATCTGGGATTCAGGATACAGGTGTACCAACGCACGTTTAAAGTCGATAAAACAAATATTTCTGGATGGATTGTCTTTTCGGATGAATCAATCGATGTAGAAACGTGTGATAATGATTGATGACCTAATTGAAACATTTGGTGGTCAGTAATTAATGCAGAATTACAAGAATTACAAGAATTACAAGAATACAGAATACAGAAACCTGGGATTGGTTGAGAAGTGAACACAGGAATATTGAAATACATTTTGGTGGATAAAACTTATATTTCTTAACCGATTATGCGGTGCGAGGGCTTAGTCGAAGCAGAAACGCCTTCTCCTAATTGGTGGCCCAATTAGAACATTTAGTGGTCAAGGCTTGACAATACAATTAATACAAAATTTGTTATATTATAACAAAATATTATAACAAAACAATTAATTCAAAAACTGTTAAGTTTTGGAAGAAGTTCTGGACTTAGTTCCAATTTTCGCCACCAAAGTGGTGGGGGAGCTACTAAATGTTCCATAAATTCCCCAATTGTTCCGGCACTTTTCTGAATCCAAGATGGCGGAAAAACAGTGGGGTCACAGAACCCCCGCAGAAGGTCTTACACGTTTGTGGCGCCTCCATCAGTTGGTGGCGGAAATTGGAACTAATTCCAGAACTTAAAAACGTGCAGGTTTTAATTGTACAACATTCCAGGGTATATTTTAAAATCTATAACAAAGACGTGTAAAGTATGCAATAACTGTTTAAAGTCCACAGTTTCAAAAACTTCAAAGTATATAGTATTTCAATATATATATATAT